TAAAACAATGAAGCAAAAGGCACAGTTCTTCTGAGTGGGAAAGAAGGGTCACAGGAATTGGCTTTCCACTGGACACATGCTGAAATATTTATTGAATGAGGGGAGGAGAAGACATAGCACAGATATTTCTAACCTGGGTATCATACACAACAGTAATATTATACATATATCATACACAACAGCTAATATTCACTGATGGAGGAAGATAAAGATTGTGGAGGAAATTATTCATTCCATTTTGGATGTGCTAATATTTTTAGGTTCAGGTTGCCCATGTGGATTCCAGCAGGTCGAATGAATGTAGGAGAGTTAAGAGGAATAAATTTGGTTGAGAACTCAAGACAGTGAAGATGACTGCTGAATCTATGGATCTGGAGAGTAATGTAAGGATGTCCAGAGGGAATGATTAGAATGGTGAAGAAGGTTGAAGAAGGAATACAGCCTGAGAGGCAAATGATATAAGTGATAATCAATATTGGCTTGAAGGATGAGTTTTAAAAATGGTAGTCCGTTGGGTAGAGTAGGAGACCAGAAGATGAAAGTGGGAAATCATCAGGCAGTCAGGGAAATAAGGCCTTCTACAACTTGTAGGTCAAAGGTTAAGCTAATAAACCAAACATCTCAGAACAATGAAATGGGAGACAGGAAGCTAAAAGGAAACAAGGAAGTGGAAAGTCTCATTTGCAAGGACAAAATAGCAAGGAAAAGTTGAGCACTAGTGGCTCATGCTTGCAATCCTAGCTACTCAGTAGCAGGCTGAGATCGGAGGACTGAGGTTCAAAGCCAGCAAAGTGTGACACTCTTATTCCAATTAACCACCAAAAAGAGTTGTGGCTCAACTTGTAGAGTGCCAGTCTTTAAAGAACAAAGCTAAGGGATGGCTTGAATACAGGTCTTATGTTCAAGCCCCAGTACCTGCACAAAAACAAACCAACATACATATTTTTATAAAGTATGCATGTAAAAGCCCCCAAAGAAGTGAGGAAGAAAATGGCACTGAAATCTTTGATACCACATCTTTGTTGGGAAGTAAATGGAGACCCACCAATTTGAGGACTCTTTTTTTTTTTTTTTTTGGCCGGTTGTAGGGCTTGAACTCCGGGCCTGGGTACTGTCCCTGGGCTCTTCAGCTCAAGGTGAGCACTTTACCACTTGAAACACAGTGCCACTTCCAGTTTTCTGGTAGTTAATTGGAGGTAAGAGTCTCAAGGACTTTCCTGCCCAGGGTGGCTTTGAACTGCGATCCTCAGATCTCAGCCTCCTGAGTAGCTAGGATTACAGGCATGAGCCACCAGTGCCTGGCCCTTTCTTTTTTGACTATCTCCTGGCAGCTCATACCACTTGGTATCAGTGGGCTGGTAGAAGGCAGGGATCCAAGCAGAAACAATATGAAGATACAGGGAGGAGGAAAGAAGCCATCCAGTGACCAGATGCTAAACAAATCTTTCCTAAAACTGGCAGTTTCACTGATATTTTCAGTGTGAATGAGAATGCAGACCAAGAAAAAGCCATCTTCCCTAGGGTTACTCTATTAATATTTGGTTGACTGGCTGTAAAGTCTAATAGCTTTTGATCTACCTCATTTTACCCCAGCCAAAGACATCTGGTAACTGAGCCCTGCTCAGGTTTCTTGACATAGTGCACATCTATCTTATCCTATTAAGGATTCCAGTTTTCTGTGCTGTAACATATCCATGTGCCATGTCCATACCAGATGGCTTTCAGGCCTATTTTCATCATCACTGTTTCTTGTGTTTGTTGTGATACTTTTTTTTTTTTTTTTTTTAATGAGAAGTGGGATGAGATCAGGTTTCTGGGGAAAGGAGATAAAGGCAGTGACTATAGCCAGTGGCTCAAGTATCATACTGCAAACCAGAGAGGGCAATAGGCAAAGTTTTTTTTTTTAATTTTAAGCTGTTATTATAAAGGTGATATAGAGGGATTACAGTTACATAAGTCAGAATACATTTCTCACCCTCCCCCTGGCTCTCTTCCAGTTTTCCCCTCAGCAAACAATTTTTTCAATTTGGGTTCTGCTTTTCTCAAAAACTGGTTTCAAAAATTCACAACTTGAGCTGGGCACTGGTGCCTCATATCTAGCTACTTAGGAGGCAGAAATCTGAGGATCACAGTTTGATGGCAGCCCAGGGAAGAAACTCTGTGAAACTCTTTTCTCCTTTAGTCACAAAAAAGCTAGAAGTAGAACTGTGGCTCAAGTGGTAGAGCACTAGCCTTGAGCAAAAAAAGCTCAGGAACAGTACCCAGGCCCTGAGTTCAAGCTCCAGGACTGGCATCAAAAAACCCCACAAAACCCAAAAGAACAACAAAGCATTATTTGGTTTAAAGTAAAAAATATAGATTTATTGGCTTCGTTTCTTTTGGTGATGTTGGGGACCACACAAACAGGAAGGATCTCTAATGTTTGCTAGCAGAGCCAGGTGTGGTGAAGCCGCACTCAGCAAACTGCTGGTGGGAGAATCAGTGGCTGTAAACTCTCTGTGAGGTGACTTGGATTACTTACTAAATGCACATATCCTGTGACTCTTGTGATCCAGGGTAATTCACTGCAGTATGAGTGTGGCAAAGGGCAGCAACAGCTTAAAGTGTTTACAATAAAGATTGGTTACTATGACATTATACCATATAATAGTAAATTCATTATGTTTATGCATAAAATAGCCTGGAACCATACACTGGAAGTAACAGTGCTAGACAGAAAGGGGTGAGAGGGACTTTTCTCTTATTTCCTTGGTGGTACTGGGGTTTGAAATCATTTTTGTTTTTGTTGGTTGTAGGACTTGAACTCAGGGCTTGGGCACTGTCCCTGAGCTTCTTCAGTTCAAGCTAGCACTCTACCAATTTGAGCCACAGCACCACTTTTGACTTTCTGGTGGCTTATTGGAGATGAGTCTCATGGACTATTGTGCCCAGGCTGGCTTTGAACCATGATCCTCAGATTTCAGTCTCCTGAATAGCTAGGATTACAGGTATGAGCCATAAGCACCTGGCAAAGTAAAAGTATTTTACTTACTAAGCAGGTGTTTACCATGGGTGTCCCTCAGCAGATGAGACTTTTCACTTATTTATTGTTTAGAACTCAGTACCTCATGTTCTTGCTTGGTTTTCTTGCTATGGCCGGAACTCTACCATTTGAGTCAATCTCCAACCCAGCTTTTTGCTCACAGCCTTTTCTGGCTGGCTTCAAATCTCCATCTTCTAGATCTCAGCTTCCTGAATAGCTAGGATTACAGACATCAGTCACATTCTTCTTTGTGTGCTTCTCCTAGGCCTTGAACTCAGGGCCTGGGTGTTGTTCCTTAGCTAACATTGCTCAAGGAAAACACTACCAATGGAGGCCACAGCAAGTTTCAGCCTTTTGATGGTTAATTGGAGATGAGTCTCATAGACTTTCCTGGCTGGGCTCACTTCAAACTGCAATCCTCAGACCTCAGCCTCCTGTATATGTAGGATTACAGGTATGAACTACTGGCATGAGTCAGCTTTTTTTTTTTCATACTTAACTGACAGAGATATAAAGAACTAATGCAGGGCTGGGAAGGTGGCTCAGTGGTAGAGCGCTTGCCTTGCATGCATGAGGCCCTGGGTTCGATTCCTCAGCACCACATAAGCAAAAAGAAAAAAGCCGGAAGTGGTGCTGTGGCTCAAGTGGTAGAGCTCTAGCCTTGAGCTGAAGAGCTGAGGGACAGTGCCCAGGCCCAGAGTTCAAGCCCCACAACCAGACGCAAAAAAAAAAAAAAAAAAGAACTAATGCATCGTTTTTTTGGCACAGTAGCCAAATTTGTCCTTCAGTCTGACATGTAACCAGGCCAGAGCTAATGAGTCAAACAACTCCCGAATTTTCTTTTTTCTTTTTGGGTCCGGTCATGGGGCTTGAACTCTGGGCCTGGGCCCTGTCCCTCAGCTCTTCAGCTCAAGGCTAGCGCTCTACCACTTGAGCCACAGCGCCACTTCCAGCTTTTCTTTTTGCTTATGTGGTGCTGAGGAATCGAACCCAGGGCCTCATGCATGCAAGGCAAGCGCTCTACCACTGAGCCATCTTCCCAGCCCACTCCCAAATTTTCTTATAGACAGTATTCACAAATGTTATGGACAAATTGACCTGACAGTCAATATTCACATTTCTAACCATCAACAGGAAGAAATAATTAGGAGTTTCAAAAACATTTTACAGTAATGAATGTGTCAAGCAGCTCAACTGCTATCACAATGAGCGAAAAGCCTAAGACACTCTGTTCCTTTCCACTACTTGCAATGTCCTTTTCATCTTGAGTCCCTACAAATCATCTATAGACTGGAAAATGAAGTAAGTATATATGCTCATAATTAAACTTCAATATCAACACTTACAAATGAGATAAATCCTAACCACAGAATTAGTCATTATGAAAATTGTATAGAGAAAGTAGAAGAGTTGAAGGCCACTTGATCTTTCCCACTTATGTTTTCTTCTCAACAAGAAAACACAAAGAAAAAGTAATAGGTATGGCCAAAACAGCAAAAAGAAGTCAGGAAGCCAAGGAACTAGCCAGATAACACTTTATTGTGGTTTGCTAGTAGTAGATCATTCAATACCTCAACATGTACAATTGTTTTTGTGTAACTTGCTTTGACAGAAGCAGCGATGTGACATTTAAAGGCATTTAGCCTCATCTTATGTCAGTCTGGTCAATGGTTGCCTATTTTAGAGTTCAATAGTTAGTGGAAAAAGGAAAATCTGGTCTTAGAATCTCAAACTAGGGACTTCATGATATGCAGCCCATATGTGTAAAGTGCTTATTCTCAGTGCAAAATAGGGCAAACTCAGAAGGGCAAGCAGAGGCCAGGTAAAGATATTGCCTGGGTGTCAGATGCATTCTATGACACAGGAAGGAAAAACCACTCAAATTTTACTCCTAAGGGATTTTAGTATTTTCCTTATTTCCCTTACTCTTCTCTAATAAGATCAAAATTGAATCCAACAGATGCTCATAGATATTCAGTTTATTTTGCTATTGAAATTTTTGGTTCAGATAGAAATCCACAGGGTTTCTAAGCACCAGATATTTATTTATCTACAGCTTTCAGCTCCTGTTTGTCTCAGCATCACAGGTGAGATAACTGAGCTCTAGCTGGTGGAAGACTCAGGGTTTCAGAGCTCTCCTTTAGACCCCTCATTCGCAAATCCAAATCAAGAGTTTGACAGGCCCTTTCTCAAACACTAACATGTCACATGGGAAGACAAGCCAACCCACATTCAAGAAATGCTTTACCTAGTTTTCCACCAACTGGACATGATCTGTTCATTGTACCTTCCTCTGGTTCCTATCCAGACTCTTGGCCCCAGGCCCAACCCTGAAATCAACCCCCTAGTTCCCTCTGTTAAGATAGACTCAGGTGTTCGCATATTCACCCTGTGGTCTCAAAGAGACTGAAGAGAAGAGGAGTGGTTTCTTAACCAATTCAAGAGGCACAAACAGGATGGGAACACAGATTCCCAAAAGCTAGCCATTCAGTCACAGGATTTCAACTACCATTTATCTCTCCAGGCTCTAAAGAGAAAGCTATGTTCCTGTACCCATCAACTTTGCAGTAGGGATATTTATAAGAGCCAACCTTGTGCTTGTAAACAACTGCCTTGTGTCCTTACTCGGACAGGTCTGTTTGTTCTTCCCCTCAGAATGAATGCCACAGGCCATGCTCTGCTCATGTGATGTCCTCCCAGATTTGATCATCTCTACTGCAGCCAGAGCTTTCTGGTGCTGGTGTTGGAAAAGCCCCGTCTTCAGGCTAACCTTCCAGACTCGCGTCATTGGAGTCACCTGAAAAACCATTTCATTCCACAGGTTGAAAAGTCATCTATGAATTATGGGAAGGGAGTAGCTATCCTTTTGGTGTTGCTCTATAACTTTCTGTTAAACCCAGCTAGTTAAGAAGAGCTACCAATGTCGCATGGAGAGGGGACTGTGTACAAACAGGAGAACCCGGGTTAAGAACCAAAACGCAGGGAAGGTTTTCAGACTGGCAGAAGTCTAAAGTAAAGTGCCTCTTTTCAAAGGAGGAGAGTCTCATTTGTTCAGAAAATGTTTGGGCATAAACATGAGTGCATAGGAACATGCACACATATGGGCGCGCACACACACACACACATACACACACACACACACACACACTCACTCACTCACTCTGAGGTAGAAAGAACTGGCTATCTTCAGACAAACACAGATTCCCAAGTCTACAGAAACATGGCACTTGTGTGAAAGGTCCTATTCTTGCCTAAGTAGGAAAGAAGGGGCCATTCCAGCTCTTTTCCATCTGGGGCAGAGCCAGAGAAGTCCTTTTCCACAGGAGAAGAGAGGTTGTAGGGCATTGCTCCTGTTGCCACAGTTCTCAGGCTATGTTTTCTTGGCCCTGCTACTCAGGATCACTTCCTGGAGCCTGAGCCATGGGTACCACGGGAGAGGCTTGTCAGGAGCCACTGGGCACAGATGTCTTGTACTACTGCATCCCCGCTGCTCTTGGCAGCCTGTTGCACCTGCTGGACAAGGGTGGTGGCCCGGGAGTGTTCTTGCTTCACAGCAATCAGGTATGCAGAACGCAGTTTGCAACAAGTAAGGTAAGCCTGAACCTGGTATTTGAGAGACAATGAAAAAGAATCAGTCACAGATGAGTCACCAACAAATATGCAGAGCTGAATCAGATGATGTAGGCAGACAGCACTTTTGACCAATCAGTGTTGGGATACTGCCTTTACTGTATTATAAGCAATTCTTTTTTTTGGTCCGGTCGTGGGGCCTGAACTCTGTCCCTCAGCTCTTCAGCTCAAGGCCAGCGCTCTACCACTTGAGCTACAGCGCCACTTCTGGCTTTTTTTTTTTTTCTTCTGCTTATGTGGTGCTGAGGAATCGAACCTAGGGCCTCATGCACGCAAGGCAAGCGCTCTACCACTGAGCCAACTTCCCAGCCCTTATAAACAATTCTTTAAGTGTCCTGGACATTATTTCATGGTGTTGTTTACAGTATAAAAAGTTACTATAGCTAAGGCTGAGGTTAAAAACAAAGGTGCCCACTGCTTGTGATTTTATAGTTATTTGGTGATTGATTGGTGTCTGGCTCCTTGACTGGACTATAAGGTCCACAAAGACAGAAAGAATGCCTGTTTTTTCTTCTTTAATTCCCAATGTCTAGCATAAAGTGTTCAGTAAACAAGCATTACAGGAAGGAATGAAGGAATACACTACCATACTTTCCCCCTTCAATAGGTCCACAAATTCTACTTTTCTATTATTCATACATTCATTCATTCTTGTCAGTCATGGGGTTGAACTCAGGGCTGTCCCTGAGCTTCTTTGGTAGCTCTACCACTTGAGCCACAGCACCACTTAGCTTTTTCTGAATAGTTTATTGGAGTCTCACGAACTTTCCTGCCTGGGCTGGGTTCAAACAGAGATCTTCAGCTCTTAGCCTCTTGAGTCACTAGGATTATAGGTGTGAGCCATTGCCACTCTGGTACCCAGATTTCTATTTTTGATTTTAACTGGATGAATGAAAAAAAAATCTTTAAACAGGAAATTTGGGCAGAAAAAATGGATATACACAACTAGAAAAATTTAATTAAGGTCTAACTTCAGCTATAGGTGGTAGTGTAAAAATATAATTACAGTACTCAGGAAGCTGAGGCAGGAAGATCATGAGTTTGAGGCAAGCCCATGCTACATGAGATCCTATTTCAAAAAAACCAAAACAACGCCTCCTTTCATCCCTGCTCCTTCCCAAAAAAGGTCTAGCCTCAGTCAGAAATGGGTTGAACACTTTTTTGCCCAGGCTGGCTTTGAACTGTGATCCTCAGATCTCAGCCTCCTGAGTAGCTAGGATTATAGGCAAAAGCCACTGGCTCCCGGCTTTTTACTTTTTTTTTTTTCCTTGGGTCCGGTCGTGGGTCTGAACTCTGGGCCTGGGCGCTGTCCCTCAGCTCTTCAGCTCAAGGCTAGCGCTCTACCAGTTGAGCCACAGTGCCACTTCTGGCTTTTTTCTTATGTGGTGCTGAGGAATCGAACCCAGGGCCTCATGCGTGCAAGGCAAGCGCTCTACCACTGAGCCACCTTCCCAGCCCCTTTTTACTTTTTTTTTTTTTGGGTCGGGTCGTGGGGCCTGAACTCTGTGCCTGAGCACTGTCCCTCAGCTCTTCAGCTCAAGGCTAGTGCTCTACCACTTGAGCCACAGTGCCACTTCCGGCTTTTTTCTTTTTGCTTATGTGGTGCTGAGGAATCGAACACAGGGCCTCATGCATGCAAGGCAAGCGCTCTACCACTGAACCACCTTCCCAGCCCCTTTTTACTTATTTTTTAACTGTGGCTCTCTGTCCCAGGCATTCCCAGCTTGGAAAGGGGGTAAAAATTCCTTCTGTCTCTGACCAAGGTCTTATGAGCACCTCCCTGGCTAGCTTGCATTCTAGGTGGGAGAGCAGTAAGGTCTCCATGAGCCCCATGAAACTCTCACTGGAGGCTGTCTTTCTGCTCAACAGTCCCTCCTAGTAGTCGCACGTGTCTTTTGTCTTTGTCACTAACATCTTTCTTTCCTCAGCTCAGTTTCATATCATTTTCTATTACTAAAAGCTCTCTGTCCTGTCCTTGGCTCACTGAATCAGGTCACACTGTTTAGGGTATGAATGTGCTGTCCTCCTGGGCCTGGGTGGGGGGAAGGGAGTGTGGAGAGGGGCCGTGAGCTCTTACTTAGGCCTCCAGCTCTAATTAAGCCTATGAAATATCACAAGTTGGAAGGCAAAATTCCTATTTAGAGAAGAAGGGCATTTTGCTAGAGTTTGAAATAGGATTTTGGCAAGATTTTGTGGCTTGAAATCATGTCAGTTCATACAGTCGCTGAGAAAAAAACATACTTGAAAAGTAGTAATAATTGTCTAGACTGTAGAGTATGTCTTTCACAGGGACAAAGCCACTGTCCCGTTGCGGGGGAGCTCAGCGAAGGCTTAGGAAAGAACCCTAGTGTGGGACTCAGGGAATCTAGGTATTTTTCCTGGCTGTTGTGTTCTCCATCTGATTCTAGAAAAGTCCTTCTCCATAGTTCAGAACATTGGAATTTTCTTCTTTTCAAGGATCTCATTAGGAGGTTGTAGAAATAATGAAAAAATATTTAGAACATGAACTTCTTAACTTCTAGACTAAAAAATGGCCTGTACCTTCTGTGTAGGGATTAGCAATAAGCCTGGAGAACAGCTCTGTTACTTTAGAAGACACTGTTTGCCTAACATAAGGTTTCATCACAAGGGACTTAGTTGTCAGAACATTCCTCTGCAGATGGCAGGGCAGCTCAGTCTGGCTTGGCTTGGGGCCTTCTTGCAGATGGCAGGAGGATCATAGTTAGCCACAATAGGGGCAGGTGGGAATAGTTCAACATGGCTGGCAATCCTCAATGAGGATATGAGAAGCAATGTTCATCCATTTCCCAAACAGGGAAGGTAAGAGTTCACTAGCACCAGGGTAGAGCCTATCCTGGTGAATAAAAAAAAAGGAAAAAAAAAAAAAGGACATTGTTGGCTAAAGGATTGAGTGGGGCTTTTTCTCACTGTCCCCACTGCTTTCCAGGATAAAGAAATAATTGCTCATTTTATTTAGTCAGTCAACTTAAAGGAGGCACGTTGTAGAGCTCTGAGGACCTCAGTATAAATGGAAATTTAAGAGCAGTCTTGGGGACCTATTTATTTCCTCCTTACCAAAGTCCTATCCAAGTCCCACTTCTACCTCTGGATAACACATAAGCTGGGGTAGAAGACTGCACAGAACTGTGGTTGGGAGCAAGGAAAGTAACCAGGGCTGCTCATTAGCATTGCCTCACCTTATTGTCATCGTTGTGTATTGCCTGGATCAGGCCCTCCAACTCCTGTACAGAACAGAGACAAAGCAGTATGAGCAGGAGAAGGCTTTGTAGCTGGAAGCCAGGGCCCAATCCAGTCTCAGCTTAATCACTGAGACTCCAGGTGGGGGACGGGGTGCCTGCCTGACTCTTCTTTTTAAAACTCAACTCCTATTAGAATAGCAATAAAGGAAAACTAGTGCTAACAACAAGGGTGGCAATTTCAGGAGAAGGAACATCTCTTGAGAAGCCTGTCCTTGGCCTTCACAGATAGATGTGGTGGTTTAGCTCACAAAGAAGCCATTTGCCTGCCATTTGCAGGCAACATACCTCAAAGACCACCAGCTGGCCTTTCCTGAGCTCCTGTAGAATCAGAGAGCAACTCAACTCTGTCAGTCCACAGAACTTTTCAGGGGCACACGATACTAGATAGAGGTACACTTTCTGGGTACAGAGGTCATGAATTTTCTTAGCAGGGAAGACCATTATTGCAAAGGTCAGAAAGATAAAAGGATCTTGTAGCATTTCAGACACATTATGGGGAACAGAGAAAGAAAGATGGTAAGAGCCTGAAGTAGATGGAGGATCAGAGAGGCAGGGGAGTGAGTGCACCTGTGGTGGGATTCTCTTGAAGGCTTCCACGCAGTTGAGAAGGATGGTATCCCCATCGCTTTTGGCTGCCATGCCTGACTCACTGACACATTTGAGCAGTTGTCGGATCTCGCTGTATTTCTCCTTTTCCACCAGCTGCCGGGCAGCTCTACAGTAGGTGGCAGCAGCATCCAGCTGGAAGTCCTGGAAAGGAATATGGGATGATGGCCTTAGGATGGCAGGGGACACTGCAGGAAGGGAGGAGACATGCTTAATGTAGATAAGCCATGTCGTCTGTAGTCTCAATAGGAAGTATAAATACAAATATAAACAAACCAAAAACAAACAGCAAGCTCCACTTTGGAGTCAGGCAGATATTTAGCATAAATCCATAACAATTATGATTTTAATATCTGAAATAGTACATCTTGCTGAGCACTGGTAATTACAAGACTTACACCTGTAATTTTTTTTTATTTCTAAAATCAGGTTTTTATTTTTTATTTTTATTTTAATTTTTTATTGTGAAAATACTGTACAGAGGGGCATATGTAATTCTTGCTACTCAGAGGCTGAGATCTGAGGTTCATGGTTCAAAGCCAGCAAGAAAAATCAGGAAAATCCTTGAGACTCTTATCTCCATTTCATCATCGATAAGCTGGAAGCAGAAGTGTGTGACTCAAGTAGTAGAGTGCCAGTGTTGAGTAAAAAAGCTCTGAGTTCAAAGCCCAGTACTGGCAAAAATAAAATAAAATAATGAAGTGGCACTTTCTGAAAATATTCTGATCTAATTTCCAAGATCATTTTGTTTTGTCTCCTGAGTTACCTTTCTCTGGAAAATGGCATAAGAAGTAGGTATTTGTCATCCTGGATACCTGGCACCGGGCTAAGAGCTGCCTTAGTGTTCAGAAAAAGTCTGATTTGCTGAAAACTGCCAGATAAATGCCTTAAACTTGGTCTAGATTAACCATTAGGCCACAGGCCTGGGGGATCTTCTCCCAGGTGTTCCCTCCAGCCACACTCCCCTGTGAAGACTGGCAGAGATGCTTCAGGAAAAGCTATAGGAACAACATGTTTTACACTAAGGTTTCAGGGACTTGATAGCTTTTGATTGGTTATTGGCTTTTTGGCAAAGTGATCTAGAGTCTTGCATTTGACCCAGTTCAATAATTGCCACCTCCCTGATTTTGTCCTTATAGTACATATAAATCTGCCTTCCTTCAGATAAACATTTTTATTTATTTATTTATTTATTTATATTTATTTTTTTGCCGGTCGTGGGGCTTGAACTCTGGGCCTGGGTACTGTCCCTGTGCTCTTCAGCTAAAGGTGTGTGCTCTACCGATTGAGCCACACCACCACTTTGGGTTTTCTAGTGGTTAATTGGAGATAAGACTCTCAAGGACTTTTCTGCCCAGGCTGGCTTTGAACCGTGATCCTCAGATCTCAGACTCCTGAGTAGCTAGGATTACAGGCACGAGCCACCGGTGCCCGGCTGGATAAACATTTTCTTTTTGTTTCTTTTTTTTTTTTTTTTTTGGGTCCAGTCGTGGGGCCTGAACTCTGGGCCTGGGCACTGTCCCACAGCTCTTCAGCTCAAGGCTAGCGCTCTACCACTTGAGCCACAGCGCCACTTCCAGCTTTTTTCTTTTTGCTTATGTGGTGCTGAGGAATCGAACCCATGGCCTCAGGCATGCAAGGCAAGCGCTCTACCACTGAGCCACCTTCCCAGCCCTGGATAAACATTTTAAAAGAATGATCTCACACAGAAATGTGAGAAATGTGCTGATTGCCCTCAGGATAATCTTGAATAATCCAAGTCATACCTGCAGAACACGGAACGCTATTCCAAAACCATCTTCTACATTTTTCCCTCCTAGCATGATCTGAAAGGACAGAAACACATGTTGTAAGAAATACTAATTCCTAGAAATGCTCCTTGATCAAGAATGAGAACCACTAACTTATTCAATTTTTAAACAAATAATTATTGAGAATCTGCTAAGTGCCAGACACTCAGGACACAGAGTGAGGAAACAGACTTAGTTCCCAGCCACCTGTGGCTCCTGTTCCAGTGGGAGGGCAGCCATCAAACAATACACTTGAGGCCCAGATGATTAAAACTATGATAAGTCCTGAAAGATGCAATCACTCTGTGAAACACTATACCTTGCAGGCAACTTCCATTTTCATGTGGTTATTTCCAAACAATGTTGGCAGAGGCAGAGTGGTGATTTGAGAGGTCCCAGCACTTTCACACCGATGTAAGAATCTGGTCACTTCCATCTGCAGCTGAAGTGTATTCATGTGCCTAGGGGGACAGGACGTGCAGAGTCTAGCCTCCTAAGAGGCTTCTAGAGGAGTGAGCTGCGTGGGGCTGGGTGACTGAGCACTTGTAAGATGAGGGTGACAGAAAAAAAAAATGAAACCATGTGAAGGGAAAAAGAGATCCAAAATATCCTCTGAGCAGGTATGACCAAACAAAACTGGGTTATCTAGTACCCTATACAGATGCACAGTAGTTCAGGTGTACAATGGAATTGAACAAGGGCCAGGCATAGGATCAGTAGGTATTTACTGAGCACCTGTGTTTCAAGGGCAACACTAGAAGTCAAGGGAGGCGTGGGTCATGCCCTTAAATTTATAGATGAGAGGAGAAAGGAATAGCAACACGGAGAACATCCAGTGATTAAGCCAATGAAAGCAACAGATGGGAAAGATAGGTCATTTTCTTTAGATGTTGCATTCTAAGTGGAAGTATCAAGCAAGCGTAACTGGATTTTAAGCCTAAAGGAAGAAAGGACTTGGTGCTTTGAGGAAAGCATCTAAGACTGATGCTTAGCAAGGAAGAAGACAGGATGAGAGACAGATGGAGACAACAGTAGGGGCTACATCATGCAGGACCTTTTTGTGACCCACTGTAAGGAGTGAAGAATTTGGTTTATTTGTAGCATGTGATTCTAATCCTCCTTATCCCCTCTTGCCCTATAAGCTCCTCTGAATAACTTTCTGTACTTATCTAGACTCTGCCTTCCAGGGATAAAGGCCTTTTTTTTTGACTTGTCTCAGAGCTTAAACTCTGGGCCTGAGTACTGTCCCTGAGCTTTTGTGCTGAAGTCTAGTGCTCTACCACTTGAGCCACAGCTCCACTGCTGGCGTGTTTTTGTTTGTTTGTTTGTTTGTTAATTAGAGATAGGAGTCTCACAGACTTTCCTGCCTAGGCTGCCTTTGACCCGGGAGCCTCAGATCTTGACCTCCTGAGTAGTTCGGATTACAGGTGTGAGCCACCCATGCCCGGTGAGAACGCTTTTTACTTATTTTTTAAGCATTCAAGGAAGGGCAAGAATAGCTGGACAAGTCCCACCTTTTTGCCCTGCACTGATTAGGTTCTGAGCCTCAAGCTACCTGGATACATCAGCTGCAGTCATCTTTTTCCGGAAGAAGGCAGTTTTCTTTTTTCCAGAGCTGCGGGATGTTTCTTGGAGGTAGATCTTCAGGTGATCCTTGGCCTTAAGGAGCCATGAAAGCTTCTCTCCCAGCTCTGTGTAAGACTTTGCTTTATGACTGAAGAACCGAATACAGGTCATGGCAGCCCGAACTTGGTCCTAGAAGAGCAGATCAAAAGTGATGAGGGTGTGGCTTGAAGAGAATTTGGATCTACTTCCCACTGAGGAAGCACATCTTGTTCTTTTGTCTTTGGTATCCTCACCTTTATCTCCTGTTGTGTTTTTTTTTTGGCCAGTTCTGGGACTTGAACTCAGGGCCTGGACACTATCGCTGAGCTTCTTTTGCTGGAACTCTATCACTTGAGCCACAGAGCTACTTCTGGCTTTTTCTGCTTATTTGGTACTGAGGAATCGAATCCAAGGCTCACACATGCTAGGTTAGACTCTACCACTAAGCCACATTCCCAGCCCCCTCCTGTTTATTTCTGCTTCCTTGCTAAGGATGACTACCCACATCCATTGCCAGTTGAATTGCTAGTTTCTCAATAATTCCAAGGCCCATGAGATCCTAAAATAAACTGAGTGGCTGAGGTCCTGTACTGGAATTATTCCACCACCAAAGTGATGCCCTTTTCTCTAGAGACACTTAACTATTCTGCCATTCCTTATGAATCTTGTATCTTTTTTACCTTTACATACTTTGAATTCTGCAGAATGCCATTACGGACAAGATTGAAGTCCAACTCTAAATTGAAGTCGGAATCCTAATACTGAACAATAGTAGAGAGCAAGAAGGATTTGCTGTAGGGCCAAACAGCAAAGCCAAGAGATCAAATGATAGTTCTGTTCCCTCATCTTATATACCTTGCCCTGAATGGCAGGGCATTAGTCACAAGGGTAGAAGGGAGGACAGGGCTACTTTTACCTTCATAAACTGCTGTAGTTCGTACAGAATGTGGTAGTAGTTCTTCTTCTGTAAATGCTGGCAGGCAGCAATCAAATATGTTCCCCAACTCTCCAAGGTTGGATCGATGGATTCTAGTAAGTTTTCTAATGTGTGTAGCTTTCCACTTTTATAGCTTGGCTGGAAAATTCCTTCTATAAAGACTTCTGGAGGACTGTCCTAAAGCAGGGCAAGATGAGAGGTTAGGAGTCTGGAGCTTGGTCTTGGCATAATCTGGCATCCAGTCTGAATTTCCTTCTACTCACGACCCTTCTAGGGTGTATCCTCCTAGGTCTGGTGCTTGCCAGGATAGCACTCTACTACTTGAGTCACATCCCCAGAACTTTTTGCTTTCCATTATTTTTAAAATAGATTCTCTCTCTCTCTGGCCTTGATTACAATCCTTCTATTTTATGCTTTCTGCATAGCTATCGATAGATGTGTACTACCAAACCCAGCTTTTTATTGGTTGAGATGGGGTTCTCATCAACTTTTTGCCTGGGTTGGTCTCAAAACCATGATCCTCCCAATGTAAACCCTCCCAAGTAGTTAGAATTTTAGGATTATAGGCATGAGCTATTGCTCCTGGCTTCTTTTCCCTGAAACTCCAACATCAAATCCACCATCAAGTCCTATTGCCTCTACTACCAAAATACACACAGAAGCACTTAGTACCTCCTCAACCTGTTCTGCACTTTATCCGTATGCTATGTGGCTCACTCCTTACGTCCTTCCTCCAGCCGTTTCCTCATATGTCACCTCCCCTGCATACCCTATCTACAATCGCACAACTTTCTCCTTCCTCCTCTCCTTTGGTTTGGGGATGGGGTAGCATTATCTAGTCCAGGTTAACCTTGAATTTAGATTATTTTATCTCAACTTCCTGAGTGCTGGGATTACAGCACTCTTATTTTATCCTGGTTGCCATCACCTATTCTTCACATTTTACTTGGCTTATTGTTTCTCTGTCCATTACCATGTAGGTTTATGAGACTGGGGTTTTTCATTGTTATGTCCCTAGTATCCTTAGTTATTTTAACAAGTGCACAAATAGGTTAATGTACAATTGATGAACACTATGGACTAACTCCTCTGGAAAATGCACATGCATTTTAATCTCACTTTTGAAGCTTATCTGTGCTTCAGAGATACTGAGTCATAAAAGCCCATTCCATATTGATAGAAAAGAAAGAAAACAATTTTGACATTTAAATTTTAGATCAGGAATGAGTAATGTAGAGTAAACGATGACTTTTAAGTGTATGGTAGTATAATGTGCTGGGGTGGGCTGCTTAGAAGTGGACAGGATCTGGGCTTTGAGAATATCTACCGCAGGCGGGGGTTAAGGCTTCTTTCCTGTTTTCTATATCTTCCTAATCAAGAAATCCAGGCCTGATTTAAATGTTTTAGGTCAGACTTTAATCAAGGGGATCAGCTCCAAAGGAGAGGGAACTCTCTTCTGAGACCTCCTCAGAAGAGCACTTTAAGAACATTCATTTTAAACTGGAAGCCTACAATCCTAGCTACTCAGGAGGCTGAGATCTGAGGATTGTGGTTCAAAGCCATCCCAGGCAAGAAAAGTCCGCGAGGCTCTTATCTCCAACTAACTACTAGAAAACTGGAAGTGGCGCTGTGGCTTAAGTGGTAGAGTGCTCACTTTGAGCTGAAGAGCTCAGGGACAGCGCCTAGGCCCAGAGTTCAAGCCCCATGACCGGAAAAAAAAAAATTCATTTTATCCATTCATCTATCCATTCATTCATCCCTAACTAGTACTAAGCCAATTGCCTGAATATACACATAGGTAAAATGCAGGCCTTCTGGGTGAGGACAGGAAGACTCACTTATAAACCAATAGTTCCAATCAGGTGGGATAAATGAAGTAGAACAGGCACATAGGTGGTAGGGACTGCTGACGGGTGCTGCTTGTGTGTTCTTTGAGTGCTTAACAGGGAGGCTTTGAAAAGATAAACAGGAGATTTCCAAGAGAAGTAGAAGGGACAGGGCAGTAGGTAGAAGGAACAGAGCATGAAGACTTGCAGAGATAAGATACTACATGGAATAATCAGTAAAATTTAAGTAATTTAGTAATTTAGAATGAAGTATAGATAGAATTTGTGGTGAAAGTAAAGTGGAAAATTTTCTGGGCATGTGCATGCGTGCGTGCCCACCCAAGTGTGTGTCCCCTTTGGCATGCTAAGGAATTTGGATTTCATATGGGCAACCACTGGAGGTCTTTTAGGGAGGAGAATAATATGAGTGTACTTAAATTTTAGGAAGCTTATTCTGAAGGCAGAACAAGCATACCTAAGATAGACAGAGAAAACACTAGCAACAGAATGTTTTCAAAGATTCCAAACCCTAGGCACTCAGGTCATCTTCACCATGCATTTTTCCACACCCTTACCTTCTTGAGAACAAAGCAAAGCTATTTTAATTCAAGGATTACTGATGGCAGGGCATAAAAGGAAGACTTTCTTCCTTGTTCTGACAAGCACAAAGCAGGGGCATGCTGTTGTCAGCTTCTACCAAGATAAGGAGTTAAGCAACTTAGCTCTCTGGACTACAGCTGTCTAAAGGAACAGGAGTCGATGTGTCCCATTCTCAATTTCTGCTTGGGAAAAGCATCTTTACCTCTCAACTCATCTGGAAACAGATGAAAAGAGAAAAAAGTTTGCAATTAAATTCCAAATAAGAAATTTTCTATATGATTCTTCAGATCCTGTTAGTAGTTAAGATGCCAAGCAATGGCCAAAGACTTTTTAACTATCCTGTAGGGGTCTGATTACCACCATGCTATAAACTGTTGACTTCATTTGGAGCCATCTGAGGAAGACATGTCTTCCTATAAACTTTCACTAACCATTGTTCAAATTTAAGGTGGATGGATGATATTAATATTTACTTTGAGTTCCTTTAGTTTTGTATGAAATTTGGTAAGTCTGACTTAATTGCTTAGGAAGTTATTCGTGAATGTTCAGATGAAAAGAAATGCTGAAGGGCTATGGTGAAATGCAGTCCTGATTGCTTATCAGAGATTCCAGTGAAGCAATGCACTGCAGTCGTGCCCCTGTCTCTTGTAGGAGGAAGATAGGCAAGAAGAGCCATGTAAGAAGAGCATCTTCCCTTTCATCATGTGCACGGGATCTGTGCCATGGCCCCTGAGGTAACAACTGTGAGTAGACACCATCCCAGGTCAGGTGGGAGCCCAATGGAAACAGAACGAGGTTCATCCCTTTGTGGGAATGAACTTTGTCATTACCAGCCAGGAGGGTGATCTTGTTACACACTCATTGGACAATAATGTAAAAACACTTTCCGCTTTGACCTGACTCTGTTGCATGTCTCACCTTGTTGAGGAGGTGTAAGAGGGCTTCCCGTAGACAGCTGTGCCTCATGTAGAAGCTGATGATGGCTAGGTTGGTACTATAGTTATGCAGGTAGAAGAGGCATTCTTGGTAGTAGGTGTTGTTCATGGTTTTTCCTTCAGGAATCACTTCCAGGGAGAGGCTCTGGGTTCGAAGGGTCATTTCAAGTTCCCTCAAGGTGGCAAAGTAATCATCATCTTGCTGATAGGAAAGGAGAGGAAAAACAGAATCCAACAAGTTTCAGCCAATGTAAGTCATTGGCTCCTGGCTGTGATATTTTTTCATTAAAAAAAAAAATGGCTTAGCCTCTAATCCAGGACTGTTCCCCAAGTCCTTACTTTTCCTAGCATTCCTCCCAGAGCCAGGCACTCTGCTGCTTTGCTCTTACCAGGGAAACAAGGGGTCTTGCTGTGGACTCCAGGTATTCAACCACATCCTGGACCAGCCTGGAGCCATGACTTAGGTGATTGAGGTCCAAAGGGGGTTTCAGACAGCGGCTGAACTTTTCTCGTGCAGCATTGAGGTTCCCAGCTTTGAGGCAGGCCATGCCCCATGCATGCCAAGCCCCAGCGGAATCAAGCCCAGTTTTTGTGGAAACCTGGAGGAAAAATTGTTTCTTTTGGTGAGAGATGCCTGTGTCCAGGCCTGACTCTCCCAAAGATCTAAATCTTGCCCCTTCCAGCCAACCACCTCCTTGCCACCCTACCTAATTGGCATTCTGGTCAGAGTAATCTAGAGATATGGTATAACCTGTTTGCAAGGACAAGGAAAGGTCGGCCACTCATTAGTGTGGGGTAGGATATAAGCTTGGTCTTGCCTCACCTCAATGCCCAGTTGGTAGTATTCAGCTTCCAGAAGCTGGTTTCTTAGCCTGGTTACTGCAGCTGGCTGTAAGATCTGATCTAGAGATGGCACGTGGCGATAGGCAGCAGCAACTAAAATATTCAGTACATCCACCTTGCTGATGTAACTACAGGGAGAAAAGGGCACAGAGATGACATTGCATAGTCTTCTAACAGTTGACAAAAGGTTTTCTAGTTCATTTTCACTGTGAAATGTGATCATGGGAACTGTGAGTACCACAGACTCTCAGTGAAGGTTCTGAGTCAAGACTGTGAACCCCAGTTCCATTGCTAAGTAGCTTTGCAACTTAGGACAAATTGGTTAACTTTCATCTACCTCAACTTATGAATCTACAAAATAGATATAATAGGCAGTAAAAAATAAAATGAAATTTCTCACATGAAAGAGCTTAGGATAGTGTCTGGAACTTTTCCAAGCACTCATAAATGTTAATTAACTATGCTTTATGCTTTTTTTTTTTTTGCCAGTTCTGGGGCTTGAACTCAGGGCCTAGGCACTGTCCCTGAGCTTCTTTTGCTCACGGCTAGCATTCTACCACTTGAGCTACAGCACTACTTCCAGATTTTTCTGTTTATGTGGTATTGAGGAATTGAACCCAGGGCTTCATGTGTGTTAGGCAAGCACTCTACCACTAAGCCACATTCCCAGCCCATGAATGTTAACTATGAATGACTGGTGCAGGGCTCCCTTGGGTTTCTATCTGAGATAGGGCCTTTACACTGAAAGTTTGGGGCACACAGCCATTTAGGTTTTGGTCCTGCTGGCTTGGAAAACAGATTTAGTACAGATGTCCTATACTCCCAGTCAGTACAGAAGTCACATCACTACTGTTTCCTGGAAGTGATGCAGAACATTCTGGCGCTTGCATGTGGCTAAGGATGGTCCTTTCTTATAGATCACTAGGGTTACTTGCTGTGACCTTACTCCTGACAAAAACTTTATGGAGCTAAGAGAGCTCAGAGGACTAGACCATTCTGTTTGATGTTGCTTCACTCAAATTCATACTCATGGTTCTTGAGTGCTGTTCATAATTATAGTAAAGATTACTGTGGGTCCTGACTTGTCCACTGACTTTCCTGGAAAGGGATTCTTTACATTAGTGATGCGTAACTTAGTTGGGAGGGGGTATGGGTAGTATGTAAAAACAGATTAGGAACCATAATATATTTGTATATTTGGGAAAAAAAAAGACCTTTAAAAGAGATGATGTGCTTTTATTTTCAAATATATATAACTTATTTGTTTATCAAAGTTTAAAAACAGTACAAGAGTACTGAATTGAAAACAGAACAAGAATACTCTAGAAACTAAGAGCTCTTAGCTGGTTTGCATGGCAATATGCAGGAAATTCATCCAGGCCCATGGGTAAAGAGGCACAAAGTCAATGTGTCTTTATAATGAATGTATCAGAATGTAGGGTATAGGAGAAAGGATGTATGATTTGAAATCAGTGCTGGAAACTGTCCTGTTAGCCCATGATACCTTGGCGTAGGGAAGAATCTTACTGAAACGAGGACTTGGTTCCTGCCCCCCTCAGCTGAAAATGAATATTTTGATTTTAAAGGATATGATGTTAAATTTACTACTCCCTATCAGAATAGCCTTTCCTCTCTCATCCCTTCAATTCCCTTCTTTCTTTTTTCTACTCAATACCATGGTTTTAAATTCAAGGGCTTGACCTTGCTAGGCTGGTGAGAAAGTATATAAGGGAGACAAAGAAAATTATGCTCCCCATCCCAGATCTGGTTAGGACTGGTACTGGGAACATAAAGCGTGAGTAATGCATCTGGGTGGAGAAGCAAAGAATTAGGGAGTTTTCATTGTCAAGTTAATAAATGGAGTCAAAGCAGGTTGTGCAGGAACCTGTGAGGGAACCTAGTCATGTCTTTCCCATGGATCTTTTGATTTCATGACTCATATTTCTACTGTGACACATCAAGCTTTGTGTGTGTGTGTGTGTGTGTTTGTGTGCCACTCAGGATGAGACTCAGGATTTCACACCTGCCCCAAGATGCCTTCACAGATCTACTACCCAGAACTACCAGTCAAAACTGAGTTCTGTGCAAGGTAATCAATAATCACTGGCCATTCAGGGAGGATACATTTCCTTTAAAAACCAGAAAGGTCCAGACAACAAAGGTACTTCCCTAAAATGATTTTAATTAGAAATTAACCAGGTGAACTCTTCACTTTCTGTCAGAGTATAGGTAGGGAAACTCTGCTTTAAGGATGTAATTAGGGGGCTAGGAAGGTGGCTCAGTGGTAGAGCGCTTGCCTTGCATGCCTGAGGCCCTGGGTTGGATTCCTCAGCACCACATAAGAAAAAAGAAAAAAGCCAGAAGTGGCACTGTGGCTCAAGTGGTAGAGCGCTAGCCTTGAGCTGAAGAGCTGAGGGACAGCGCCAGGCCCAGAGTTCAGGCCCCACGACCGGATCCAAAAAAAAAAAAAGGATGTATTTAGGGTAAAAGGACACAGAATAGGGTGAGGAAGATCATTTGTGATTAGGTAATAGTATTTCATCAACATTCAAGTGAGATACGAATATTCTAGCATGTCTTGTCAGAGAGGATGAGGAGGTATCTCCCTACCCACTAAACAAAGAAAAGACTAAGAAAGGAAGATAGATTAAAATTGTCACCACATAAAAGAATCGAGATTCAGCCTGGTGCTGGTGGCTCATGTTTCTAACCTTAGCCACTCAGAAGATCTGAGGATTGAGGTTTGAAGCCAGTCTGGGCTGGCCAGGGAAGTCCATAGATCTTTTTTTTTGCTGGTCCTGGAGCTTGAACTCAGGGTCTAAACGGTGTCCCTGAGTCTCTCTGTGCTCAAAGCTAGTGCTTTACCACTTGAGCTGCAGCATCACTCCCAGCTTTTTCTGTTTATGTAGTACTGAGGAATCGAACCCAGTGCTTCATACATGCTAGGCAAGTACTCTAAAACTAAGCCACATTCTCTCCAATAAATTACCTCAGAAAAGCCAGAAGAAGAACTCTGTTTCAAGTGATAGAGGATTGGCCTTCAGCCAACAAGCTTAGGGATAGTGCTCAGGTCTTGAGTTCAAGCCATAGGACTAGTAAGAAAAGACTGGAATTTCATTCTCATATACCTGTCACAAAGAGCCAAGTCCTGGCTCTGGCCAGCCTTGACAAACATCATCTTGGCGCTAAAGAGCAGCTGCTTCATAATGTCTGTGAGCAACCCTGCATCCACTTCTGGGTTGGTGAGGCCCTTAGATAGCCTGCAGCAGTGCTCAATTAGCTGATGACCACAGGCCACACTGTCCTGGTGCAGATTCAGGATGGCAATACACAAGGAGGCGCTAGGAGCCTGTCAAAGACAATGAGAGAGAGACACACACATAGTGAAGACAGGGGCCAAAGTGATCCTGAATTGCAGTTGCATGGCAGAAATTATCCTTTCCAAAAGGTTACAGTGGAGGAAGGAGCCCAAAATTCCACAGCAAAGCAGAAGAACTATATAAATGTCACATTCTCAGTGGCACTACCAAAGTACTGGCTACTAGGCTGTCACTTCACACTTCTGGAGAATGTCTACAGGGGGTCTCTTATTTCTGGACTATCATCCATCACTGCAAACTCCTGATATCTAGCATGGACTACAAAGTTGCTTTGCTTGTCTGACCATGTGGAGGAGTCTTTGCTTTGAACACACTCCTTCTAAATTAATATTCATAAAGTATCCTTGGAAATGTTTGTAGGTCCCTGACACCTACGAGTATTCATTTGTTACTTCAGAGTTCACAGCTCTATATGTAATAGTCCTTCTCAGTCCCACCCTTTCCTTCCTTTCTACCAACACTACATTCCCTCCTTATTAATATCCAATTCTTCATTCACACCCTTTTTTTAATCAGTTGTGGGGCTTGAACTCTGGGCTTGGGCGCTGTCTCTGAGCTCTTCAGCTCAAGGCGAGCACTCTAGCACTTGAGCCACAGCACCACTTTAGGTTTTCTGAGTGGTTAATTGGAGATAAGAGTCTCACGGACTTTCCTGCCTTGGCTGACTTTGAACAGTGATCCTCAGATCTCAGCCTCCTGAGTAGCTGGGTGCCAGTGTGAGCCACCAGCACTCAGCACACCCTATGATTTTTGATACTGCCTGTGATCAGACATTTGACTTCCGTACTCTGTTCTTTCTCTATTTTGATACCCTCACAACCCTAATTTTTCTGCTTGTTATACTCCTGCCCCTCTTCTAAAGCTCATCTTAAATGCCATCTCTTCTGCAAAGCCTTTCTTTGAACAGGTGTATTCTCCAAGATGCTCCTCATCTTCTGCTTTAACTGCTCCCTGTTATCACACAGTAGGTAAAGTGAAGGCTAGGCTGTGTTCATCTATTTCTGTATTTCTTGCTGTATCACACATTGTAAAGAGAGTTAAATGACCATTATTACATTTTACTACTATTACCTGCTCATAGTAGAATTCACTCCTCACTAGCTCATTTTCTTCTTCATTTAGACTCAAAATCCATTCCACCTCTGCTGCTTTGGGAACTCTCACCACAGCCAGATACGGAAGGCTTTCGCTCTTAGAGCTTTCTGCAGCTGAGACGAGAATTGTATTGATGTGTCAGTCAAGCCCGGTCCAGTCTTGGTGTGTGTTGGAGGCAGATACTGCTGGCTATCTGAGGTCCTCTTACTTTCTCCTTGGGTGCTACTAGGCACCACAAACTTTCTTCCCTAGGCACAGACCTGGAATCTCACAGCTTTCGTCACACAATATTAATATTTTACACAACAAATCCTGAGGAGTTTCTCTCTCTCTCTCTGTTAGTTGTGGTCTTGAACTCAGGGCCTCAGTCCTGTCCCTGAGCTCTTTTGCTAAAGTCTAGCTCTCTACCACTTTAAAAAGTTACGGTGCCACCTCGGGGAAGGGAGGGAGGGAGGGGATGGTAGGGGGAAAACAATGGAGGGGGTAACAATGTTCAAGAGGAAGTGTACTCATTACCTCACTCATGTAACTGTAACCCTCTGTATAGTATCTTTACAATAAAAACAAAACAAACAAACAAAAAAGTTACGGTGCCATTTCCAGTTTTCAAGTGGTTACTTGGAGATAAGAGTCTCATGGATTTTCCTGCCCAGGCAGGTTCTGAACTGTGATCTTCAGATCTTAGCTTCCTGAGTGGTGAGGATTACAGGCATAAGCCACAAGTGCGCAGTGGTATATGCTTTCTAAATGGATTGCTGACTCATTGGATACTCTAAAAACTAACCTATTGTGGAAAATTATTGGCCAAACTGATAACAGTGAATATCTGAGAAGAATGAGGGAGCACTGGATGGTAGGATGACAGTGAAAGGGAAGCTGGGGTGGCACGGGTGGTAGTGGGGAAGAAATAACCCATTAAAAGGTAAGGATCATTGGGTGCTGGTGGCTCACAACTATAATCATAACTACTCAGGAGGCTGAGATCTAAGGATCATGGTTTGAAACCAGCATGGGCAGGAAAGTCTGTGAGACTCTTATCTCCAATTAACCACCAGAAAACTGGAAGTGGCGCTGTGGCTCAAAGTGGTAGAGCACTAACCTTGAGCAGTAAAGCTCAGGGATAATGCCTAGGACCTGAGTTCAAGACTTGTGACAGACCAAAAAAAAAAGAGGTAAGGATCAAATTGATCACTGGCTTTCTTAATTCAGGAAGCTAATGGGTCCATGTGATAGGTGAATATGATGAAGTCCAAGGGAGATAACCTAAGAGAAATGCCAAGAATTTTCTTCAGCAAACAAGTTGGATTGAGTTGCCATGGAGTATATCTGTTGTAGCTGATACAATGATAATAATGCCAACTTGAACATATAAACCAAGAGTCAGAGAATATGGTCAGGCCTTACCTTCTGATTGGCTTGGGCTCTCCTCTGATGTACTAAAAACAGAGAAAAAAAAAGTCAAATGCAGGAATTTTTTCTCTCCCTCATGTGTCACAGCCAGCCTATTCTATAGTCTCTCACTACATCCTGTTCATTCTAACTCCTAGACATCCCTTTAAATGGCCCTACCTCTCTTCATTGCTGCCTCAGAAAGGGCCCTCATCATTTATTGCTAAAGGTTGCAACATCTTTCCCACTGTTTCTTTGACTCTGATTTTGTCCAGCTACTTTGCAGCTTTCAAAAATGCAAATCCGAAGCTAGGTGCCAGTGGCTCATGCCTGTAATCCTAGCTAATTAGGAAGCTGAAATCTGAGGATTGCAGTTCAAAGTCAGCCTGGGCAAGAAAGGCTCTGAGACTCTTACCTCCAATTAACCACCAAGAAGCTGGAAGTAGAGCTGTGGCTCAAGTGAGTGCCAGCCTTGAGTGAAAAAGCTAAGGGACAGAGTCCAGGTCCAGAGTTCAAGCCCCAGTACTGGCACACTCTATGTGTATACACACATGTAAGTGCATACACACACATGTACATTGCACACACACACACACACACACACACACACACACACACACACACACACAAATGAAGATCTGGTCACATTCTGTCCTACTTAATGTCCTCCAGTATCTGCTTAGGGTAAAACTCTTCTACACTCACTATTCTATAGACAAAGCACTTTTAAGATCAGGCCTGCCTGCCTACCTGTGGAGGTCACCTCCTGTCACCTATGATTGATATTCAAGCAACTTCTTAGTGCTGGTGCTAACAAGCACTAAGTCTCAATCAGTGTCCACATATATCACCTGCACAAGGAGCTTGCTGGTTCACTCTAGTCTATGATAGGAGAGAGCAAGTTCCAAGCCTTTGTGTCATTACCCAAGTCCTCCAGATTTAGCTACCAGTTAAGTCCAGGTTCTACTAGTCATAATCTTAGCCCATCACCTACCTATTTTCAGCACCTCAAAAAATTCACATTTTCTTCTGCTTCTACCTTTGCAGCATTACTCAATTTTTGAGTGTGTACTTCTTCTGGTTTTCTTACTAAAGCTCTAAGGTTCATCCTCTCAGGTTACCGCTAGAAACCCTCCTGACCTAGGCTAAGCTGTGTATACTGCCACCACTGCACTTACACAATCACCTGGGCTTTGTTTATTAGTCATCCCACTAGTTAGATGGAGGTTCCTTCAGGGTAAAGTCAGTTTTGCTGACTGATGGTGAAAGAACCACATCTACACTAATTGCTGATTTCTAATTGGTGTATGAGTAATTCCCATCCTGCTATGCCAGGGCCATAGAAAATGTAGAACAAGAAATGATACCACTTCCTTCCTAAACAATTGATACTCATCATGGCAGATAATGACCAAAATAATTAGATTCAAACAGAAAAAAAAAGCTAATGAGCAGGATATAACGTCTAGTTAAATCTGTCAAATAAAATGTGGAGAGTCAAAAGCATTTTTGCCTTTAGATAGTTGTTTCAGTCCATATTTCTATGTGCTCTAGGAGTCTTAGTTTCATACTCTTTTGCTACTAATAGTGGGGAAAATTGGTTAACACTGAACCAGCAACACAGTCTTGATCTGTCCTGTCAGAGGTCAGAACAATTCTTTAAACCTATCTGCAGCTGAACTATGTGTAGAAAGTATCAGGGCTTGGCTGGGTGCAGGAGGCTCATGCCTGTAATCCTAGATACTCAGGAGGCTGAGTTCTGAGGATTGAAGCCAGCCTGGGCAGAAAAGTCTGTGAGACTCTTATCTCTAACTAACTACCAGAAAACCAGAAGTGGCGTTATTTGCTCAAAGTGGTCTTGAGCAAAAGACAGTGCCCAGGGACAGCACCCAGGCCTGGAGTTCAAGCCTCACAATTGACAAAAAAAGAAAAAGAAAAAAGAAAGTGTAAGGGCTTATCTAATTGTGGACAACAAACCAGGACTACCTAGAATGAAGAGCTGATGTAAGTGCTGTCCTTAAAATTCAGCAGGTATGGATGTGTCCCTTTAAATTGAGGCAAGACCAAAAGAAGAAAGAGTAACCAGGAAATAGGGAAGGTGAAGAAGAGGACGATGGTCTCAGTCTGGACAGGAGCAAAGGCTGAAGAGCCAAGTGTCCTGATTTTGAGAAGACCAGTATGTAAGAACCTTGAAAACTGCTTCCTGTCATCTCTGCTTCTGACTCAAGTCCATCTTCAAACATTTCACTGTCGAGTTTGTGCACTGCAGTGTGAATGTTAAACCAAATATTTTTTGTAAGTGTTCGAGAGGTAAACTGTTCTCCACAACAAGATTGCTACAAGTATTAAGGTCTGAGAGAGGGTGCAGTTGTCAGAAGCAGTATCAGCTTCAGCTGATACTTCAGAACACTCACTCTTTGTTGTAGTAACTGTAGCACTGGTCACACACACGAGTAGGGCTCTCCCTGCAGCCTTCCACCACCATTTTCTTAGTGGAACAAGAACCACACACTAGCCGGCCACAGCGGCGACAGTGATGACGTCTGTTGAACTGAGGAATGCCATTGGCATAGAAAGAAGAGGGAAAAAGAGATGGTGAGATTCAGTCTATTTATACTTAGCTTCAGTCACCTGTGACCTATTAAAAACATCAAGAGTTTGAGCTTATTTTGAAAATGAGCACACCTATCACTGCCCTCAAAAAAGGGGACATCTGCCAGGGGCTGGTGGCTCAAGCCTGTAATCCTAGCTACTCAGTAGGCTGAGATATGAGGATCACAGTTCAAAGTCAGCTTAGGCAGGAATGTCTGTGAAACTCTTATCTCTAATTAACACCAGAAAACCAGAAGTGGTGCTGTGGCTCAAGTGGTAGAGCGCTAGCCTTGAGCTGAAGAGCTGAAGGACAGCTTCCAGTCCAGCGTTCAAGCCACGTGACTGACCAAAAAAAAAAGGGCCTGAAGGGTCTAGCTCTGGTACAGTGCTTGCCTAGCATATACAGGGCTCTAGGATCCCCAGCATAAAAGAAAAAGAAAAAATAGAGAGGCAAAAAGAAAGCAATCTGACATTTTAGGATCATTCAGCTGATAGGAAAACATTTAAGAGACTGACAGTTTTGTAATCAGTAGTACTGGAAGTATTATTTCTGTGTGAATGCAACATGTGAAGGCACAGCAAATCAGTAGCGGGGAAGAAGTAACATTCCAGCCAGAGAGAACCACATTTCTACATAGTATTGATGATGATGAAACAGCATCCTTTCTCTAAATATTTCTTTTCCAAGTATGGCCTTATTTCATTAAAAGTGACTGATAGCCTATATTCTTTTACATATGAAGAAACAGGCGTAGGGAAATGAAGTCACCATTTAATTAGCGCTGAGCTAATCCGTCAAGTAGAAGTAGGCTAAGTGGGACCTTTGTTATTGCATTTAATCCTAAAAGCTCCATGAGGCAATCCATATATTATCCCTACCTTATAAGTGGACACATATGACTAAAAAAGTTTATGGTCATATTGATATTAGGAGGCAGAGCTGGAATAAGAAACCAGGTCCTGGGGCTGGGAAGGTGGCTCAGTGGTAGAGCGCTTGCCTTGTATGCCTGAGGCCCTGGGTTCAATTCCTCAGCACCACATAAGCAAAAAGAAAAAAAGCCGGAAGTAGTACTGTGGCTCAAGTGGTAGAGCACTAGCCTTGAGCTGAAGAGCTGAGGGACAGCGCCCAGGCCCAGAGTTCAGGCCCCACAACTGGACCCCCCCCCCAAAAAAAAAAAAAAAGAAGAAGAAAAGAAGCCAGGTCCTCTTTCTTCTGAGCTAGCAGGTAGAACCACTATCAGGTTGTTGTCTTATTGAGAAAGACATGGGAGCTTGAAATAAGATCCCTTAACACTTGGTGATTCTTCCCACCTTTTGCATTATCTCCTGATAATGGCAAAGTTTAAAATTTAAGGCTATTTGAAAATGTCTATGACTTGAATAAATTTTAAATATATACTCAGGCCACAGAGATCTGAGACTCATGGTTCAAAGCCAGCTGGGTAGAAATTCTCTAAGGGCAAAAAAGCTGAAACTCAAGGCATAGTTCAAACGGTAGAGCACCAGTCATGCATGAAAAAGCAGAAAAAGAGCCCGAGGCTCTGAGTTCAAACAAACAACCCTCCAAACAAAACATAACATAAAAACAACCCAAACCATAAAACCTAACTATGGTTAGGTTAAAGGTAAATCCAAGGTGTTAGTTTTGGAAATTTTTTTGAAAATAGCAGTATCTGCTAGGACATGAAATGAAGTTAGGCTCATGACGTGGAACAGACCTGCCTGTCCCTGAGTGCTGCTGAGAATGATGCCACCTACCATGGTGAAGTGCTCCCTGCGGCACACCATGCAGATGTTTTCAGTCTCATCTGGTACCCACTGGCTCCTGGCAGGAGGTGCTGATGGGGGCACAAATTCCAGTAGAGGCTGATTTGGAGCAAAACACCTTTCACTTGGGCTGGGGGAACATGCCACGGAGGTACCTAGGAACCAGAGGTCAGAGTAAAAAGTGATCAATATTCCATCCCATAAATAAAAAAGAGAAGGACAAAAGTTTACCATTTTACAAAACCCTTCTGAAATAATAGGTCCAGTTGATGATTATCAATAGGTGCTTGTGTCACAAAACAGATAACAGAAACATTGTATGCCTCCTGTTAAAAATGTAAAGGAGGGCTGGGAAGGTGGCTCAGTGGTAGAGGCCCTGCATGAGGCCCTGGGTTCGATTCCTCAGCACCACATAAGCAGAAAAAAAAAAGCCAGAAGTGGCACTGTGGCTCAAGTGATAAAGCGCTAGCCTTGAGCTGAAGAGCTGAGGAACAGCACTCAGGCCCAGAGTTCAGGCCCCACGACTGGACCACCCCTCCCCCCCAAAAAAAACGTAAAGCAAAACCAATCAAGTGTAATTATCAAAAAAACATTAAGTGCAAATTAATACATACTTCAAGAAAGCTCTATCAGTGTACTAGAGAGCAGAGACTCAGATTGTCATACGGAAGCAACCAGTAAAACCAGCATGTGGGAAGCTTTATGGGACAAATGTCACAATTTCCTCCTTACATAAAAGAAGTGGGAGATCTAGTGATTAAAACAGACTTAAAAATTTAGCCTGATAGCTGGGTGCCCGTGGCTCATGCCTGTAATCCTAGCTACTCAGGAGGCTGAGATCTGAGGATCACGGTTCAAAGCCAGCACAGGCAGGAAGGTCCGTGAGACTCTTATCTCCAATAAATCACTAGAAAACCAGAAGTGGCGCTGTGGCTCAAGAGGTAGAGTGCTTGCCTTGAGCTGAAGAGCACAGGGACAGCACCCAAGCCCAGAGTTCAAGCCCCACAACCGACCAAAAAAAAAAAAAAAAACTTAGCCTGACTAGGGGCTGGGAAGGTGGCTCAGTGGTAGAATGCTTGCCTTAGATGCACGAGGCCATGGGTTCCATTCCTCAGCACCACATAAACAGGAAAAGCTGGAAATGGCACTGTGGCTCAAGTGGTAGAATGCCTGCCTTGAGCTAAAGAGCTGAGGGACAGCATCCAGGCCCAGAGTTCAAGCCCCAGAACTGACCCCCCCCCCAAAAAAAAAATTTAGCCTGACTAAAGATTTAGTCTGAGCAGGTGCTGGTGGCTCATTCCTGTAATCCTAGCTACTCAGGAGGCTGAGAGATGAGGATTGAGGTTTGAAGCCAGCCAGGGCTGTGAAGCTCTGATTACAAAAGAAGCCAGAAGTGATTCTGTGGCTCAAGTGGTAGAAAGCTAGCTTTGAGCAAAAGGAGCTTAGGGACCCAAGGACCAACCAACCAACAAACATAGTCTGATTAAAACAAACTTAAAATTTTAGCCAAATTCTATGTGGAGAAATTAGACTTTGATTCTAGACAAATCGACTATAAAAACGTTATGTGGCCGGACGCAAGTGGTGCCTGTAATCCTAGCTACTCAGGAGGCTGAGATCTGAGGATCACAGTTCAAAGCCAGCCAGGGCAGGAAAGTCCATGAGACTCTTGTCTCTAATGAACCACTGAGAAAACTGGAAGTGGCACTGTGGTTCAAGGGGTAGAATACTTGCCTTGAGCTGAAGAGCTGAGGGACAGTGCGCAGGCCCAGAGTTCAAGCCCCATGACAGACAAAAAAAACCAAACAAACAAAAAACAGAAACAAAAACAAAACCGTCATGTGTTGGGTGCAATGGCTCATGTTTATAATCCCAGTTACTGGTGAAGTAGAGATTAAGACTTTAATTCAAGAATAGCCTGAACAAAAAGTTACTGAGATCCCACTGAACCAATAGCTGGGCATGGTAGCATATGCTTGTCATCATGGCTATGTGATAGGTATAAATAGGAGGATCATGGCCTGGGCCAGCCTGGGCAAAAGCACAAGACCCTATCCCAAATATAAATAAGGCAGAAAAGGCTGGGGGCATGGCTCAATGGATAGGAGTGCTTTTCTATTAAGCATAAGGGACTAAGTTCAACTGCCAGTACCACAACAAAATACAACAACAAAACTTAATGAACAACTAAGAAAATATGAATATTAGATATTTGAAGATAATAAGGGATCTTCTTCGGTAATATGATTATATGGTTTTATTTTACAAAAGTGCTTACTTTTTAGGAATTTAAAAGAAAATATTTATAAATGAAATGATACCTTTGGTACTTATTTCAAGATAAACCAAAAAGAGGAGAGGTACAGATGAAACAAGAATGGTCATTGTAAAGAGATAGTTGTTATAGCTGGGTGACTGGTAGGTGAACCTCATTATATTCTTTGTACTTTATAGTGTACAATTTCCATACAAAAAACATATATTCTCACACACACACACGCACGCACACGCACGCACGCACGCACGCACGCGCGCACACACACACACACACACACACACACACACACACACAATGCTTCTCATCTACCTGTGAGTCTGGTTCTCTGGCCAGTTGGTTATTGAGAAGCTAATTAATTCCCAGAGATAGCTAGGAATGCTACACTTTCCTTTATGGTATCTAAGGAGATTTCTTATCACTTAGCAGAGAAAATAGAAAAAAAACACCGTAATCTTTATCAGAAGAAGAGACACACAGAATCATGCTCTCCTGAAGAGGTGGCAAAACAATCACTGCATTGCTAGAGACTGGGGAGAGCAGGGCTGCTGAAAAGAATGACCAAAACACGGCTGAGGCCTTCTAGGAGCTTGTTCCTTTTGTGTAAAGGAATTTTCAAGGGGATTAAACCCAGTCAATTCTCATTAGCAGGATCCATATTTGTGAGTTTGTCTATGCACTAAATATACAATCATCCTCAAAAATCAACACTTGTAGTGCTTTCATGGTCATTTGCAGCCATGTCCAGAGTGACATAAATTTTGAGTTGCCCAACATTGAAGTTGTCAGTTGAATGGACTAAGGTGGCACTCTTCCCTCTTGTCTTAGCTCTCATGTGGTAACCAGAGAATGTAAAGAGGAGACAATGCAAGATAGGTATAAGCAGCTCTAGTTAGAACTAGTTAGGACCAGGCATACAGATTTTTCTTTTTTTGTTGGTTGTGGGGCTTGAACTCTGGGCCTGGGTGCTGTCCCTCAGCTCTTCAGCTCAAGATGAGCTCTCTACCCTTTGAACCACAGTGCCACTTCCGGTTTTCTGAGTGGTTTATTGGAGATAAGAGTCTCATGGACTTTCTTGCCTTGGCTGGCTTTGTATTAGATCTCAGCCTCCTGAATAGCTAGGATTACAGGTGTGAGCCACTGATGCCTGGCTCCAGGCAGATTTTGAATCCCATCTCTGGCCCTTATTAGTAGGTGCCTCAGAGAAGTCATTTCTCAGTCTCTTCTTTTGTAAACTAAAAGGACAGAATGTACTAGGATAAGTTATTTTTAAGGTCTGAGACTATAATCTATATAGTATGTATGTATATGTGTATGTGTGTCTCTATGTGTGTGTAGCTTCCTCTTGAAGCAGTGGTTTAGGATTCACAAATTCAATGTTTGTTTTTTTTTACAGTCTTTAAGTCAGAATAAGGCAAAGTTAAAGTGAAAACGAGGTAGCAGTTCTTACCAGAAACAGTAGTAGAGAATTCTGTTGATGGTGATCTAGACAGGGTTTCAGGTTCCGAAGTCTGATGAACAATTTCCTGGAGATGAATCACAGAATCTGCCAAGAGGGATCTGCCATAAGCATCTTAATCCATTATGTTAGGTATTTAGTTCAAAGCTCTATGGGCTCTGCTGACTGTCAAACCATGACTCTAAGATAATGGTGGAGTATCTCTTTTTTTGGTTGGTTGTGGGGCTTGAACTCTGGGCCTGGATGCAGTCCCTGAACTCTTCAGCTCAAGGCTAGTGCTCTACCACTTGAGCCACAGCACCACTTCTATTTTTCTGGTGGTTAATCGGAGATAAGACTCTCATGGATGTTCCTGTCCTGGCTGGCTTCAAACCTGGATCCTCAGATCTCAGCCTCCAGAGTAGCTAGGATTATAGGTATGTGCCTGGCTATGGTAGAGTACTTCTAAGACGTGTTTTGGCACACGAGATTATGGAGTAGTAGCCACTAGGATTTTTCAAAGTAAATTAAAAAATGTTAAGAAGACAATTACAGGTACACATTGTCAGCTGTCATATAAGTTTTATCTGATGCGACTGAGAATGAAGCACTCTCCATAAAAAAAAAAAAAAAAAAGATGGCATTTTTAGGGCCACTCTATCAAGGCCAGACAGAAATACTGTCCAGCAATATTTGCTTCCCCAAACCTTCATGGTAGTTATTCAGTGGTTGTTTACCTTTGTTTCATTCTGACCAAAATCTCTCCCAAGAAGAGTTGTGTCTCCTAAAGTAATTCCTTTCACTTTAATCAACCCCAAATAATAAGAGAGGGGAAAATGAAAACAAAGAATGGAGCATGGTATTGCTTTCTCCATACAGAACCACTATCTAGAATGCTGCAGTTACCTGATCGTTTCTCCCTCAGAGGGTATGGGAGGTCCAGGGCTTTCCCTGCATATCTGGAAAGCAAGGAGTCAACCTCATTCATGGTGAAGCCAATCTCCTGTCCAGTCAGCAACTGGTTCAGAGTCTGCACTGCCAGAGTGGCCCAATCCACCTTCATGTTCATCAGCAGCTGCTCTAACATGAGTAGGGGGTTGGAGGACAAGTGGGAATAGCTGTTCCGGTGCTGCTCAGGCAGAGTCAGCAGAACCTATTTGTGGGGGTAAACCCATAGAGAAAAGAGAACAATAAACACATCTCAAAAGAAGGCTGAGATTCTTTTGGGAGAAAGAATTCCAGAGAGCTGAACGTCTATAGTACTATTGCGATTTGCTAGGAGTCTTTCATCAAGCAAGGCTATTCTCCCTAAGTCATCTAAGTGGCTATGAAGAGTATTCCAAGCACTTTTACCCAGATAACAGGATGGTAATTCTTTTTTCTATCAAGGATCAGAGAGTGTCGAGCAATGGTGGCTCACACTTTTAATCCTAGTTACTCAGGAGGCTGAGATCTAAGGACCCTGGTTCAAAGTCAGCCTAGGCAGGAAAGTCTGTGAGATTTCTCTCCAATTAACCATCAGAAAACTGGAAGTGGAGAGCAATGGCTCAAAGTGGTAAAGTGCTAGCCTTGAGCAGAAAAGCTCAGGGACCCTGCCAAGGTCCTGAGTTCAACCACTACTACCAATAACAAAAAAAGAGACAGTGAGCAAATTTTTTAGGCTTTAAGATGTATAAAATGATTCAGCTTTTCCAATGTAGTGTGAAAGCAATCATAAACAAACATGTAAGTGAATGGATATGCTTTGTTCCAATAAAACTTGTTTACAAAATATGCTAGATTTGGTCCCCAGGTAGTAATCTATTAACCCCTTGCCTGGACCCTCAAAAGCACAGTTGGGCTTTGCCTCAATGTTATTATTATACTGAGGAGAGCATTTACTTATGAATGAGCAATGTTGGGTGATGTCAGAGGGCTGCCCAATCCAGCCACCTCCTAAATCCTATATGCCACTAGGCTTAAAATAAGGTCACTGGTTGCCTATTTTTCTCCAACTTAAGTTAGCTGCACTAAAAAAAAAAAAAAGTCTATTTTTTAAGAGAAAGTAGTTATATACATGGCTCTTCTTCTATTTTGATTGCTAGTCAGAATAAATAGAAGAAATTAGGAATTTCTTCTCTAAAAATCCTTTCACTAGAATTACTTTTTGTACCTTGAAGTTTCTCCAGTTAGTATTTTCAAGGTTATATAATAAAGGTAAAGAAGTATTATATCATTTAATTACTAGACAACTTTTTTTTGTTGTTGTTGGTCATGGGGCTTGAACTCTGGGCCTGGACGCTACTGTCCCTCAGCTCTTCAGCTCAAGGCTAGCACTCTACCACTTGAACCACAGCGTCACTTCTGGGTTTCTGGTGGTTTATTGAAGATAAGAGTCTCATGGACTTTCCTGCCTGGATTGGCTTTGAACCGTGATCCTCTTGCTAGGATTACAGGCATGAGCCCCTGGTGAATACACACACACACACACACACACACACACTTTTTTTTTTTTTGGGTCTGGTCGTGGGGCCTGAATTCTGGGCCTGGGCAGTGTCCCTCAGCTCTTCAGCTCAAAGCTAGTGCTCTACCATTTGAGCCATAGCACCACTTCTGGCTTTTTTCTTTTTGCTTCTGTGGTGTTGAGGAATCGAACCCAGGGACTCATGCATGCAAGGCAAGTGCTCTACCACTGAGCCACCTTCCCAGCCCCTGCCTGGCTAATATTTTTAAGGCCAGGTGGTTCTAAAACATGGTCCAGATTGAGAAGCACTGATATAGAAGTGCCATGGAAAGTCGAAGGACCCTTGAGAGGACATTTTGAATAAAGGGCTGCAAGAGTATGACAAGTCCTAAGAGGCATATCTAGGGAATGGTGGGCTGTGTGGTTACAATCTTATAGCACAGGCTAAGGATAGCAGGCACTGGCAGAAGAGCTTCTGAAAGGGCAGGTTCTAGTGTGGGAGTTGGGCCAGCAGTCACCCTCCTCAGACATGCTTTCTTGAAACCTTTCCCCCTTACCTTGGATCCCATGTACAGTGCCTGGATTTCATGGTGTCGAGCAGTGGTCAGTTCTCCATAGAAATGGGTGGTGAGGTAGTTGGCCAAGAAGTGTGATGTGGCCAAGCTAGGATGCTGGTCAAGGGACTTCTCTGTGACCTCAAGGCACATGGCAGGGTCAGGGATTCTTTGCAGAAGCTATAGCAGAAGAATGGGTAGAAGAGGAAGGCAAGGCTTTCCTAAGAACTCTGGAGCTGCCTTGCTTTGCTTAGAGAAAGGAATACTTGGTTTATTTATTTTGGGTTCATACTTTCCCTATGCTCATTTTTGTTACCTCCATACCTTCACCAATAAGTCACAATTTTTTTTTTCCTGGTTGTGAGGCTTGAACTCAGGGCCTAGGTGCTGTCCCTGAGCTCTTTCGTTTAAGGCTATCATTGTACCACTTTGAGCCATAGCTCCACTTCTGGTTGGAGATAGGAGTCTTACGGACTTTCCAGCCCAGTCTGGCTCTGAACCACGCTTCTCAGATCTCAGCCTCCAGAGTAGCTAGGATTATATGTGAGCTACCAGTGCCTGGCTGAGACATAGTTTTGATAGGATTTAGATTCTTCATTACAAGAATTCTAGCCCCAATTGTTCCACTTGGCACCTAGTATAGAGAGAGACACTTTCTCTCAAGATGACTGTGACTGGCTTCTGAAGGACAGTTAGGCAGATAGGAGATTGCAAATATTTTGCATGGGATTCATGGGAAAAAGTCATCTGATTTCACTAACTTTGTTCTTCCCAATTGGAGAAATTCTGTAGACCAATAATATGTGGGCCTAATAAACCTGTTGGGGAATAGATTCCATGTCCCCCACTTACTTTACTATCCCAATGTGTGAACTCTACATTAAAGTTTCAGGATGGAATTCCCAGGGCTTTACCCAAATATTACAACACAGCGGTACCTGGGTTGCCCTCCATATACTTGTCTGTCATGCTGTATCTAGTACCCTGCTTGAGCTCCTTTGATCTGGATTTACTTCTATCATTTGACATATTGTATTGCAATCATATCTAAATGAGTCTTACATCATCACTCTTATTCTCCCTAAAATGTGGCTCAATGCAGCACAAGGACTACTAACCCTAATTATTAACACTGTCATACTACCATCTAGCAAAGTAGCCAGGAATATTCAGTGTCTCCTAAATGAATAAGCATTCAAATGAATGTCTACATTTTGAACTATGATATATCAACTTCTTAAAAGGCAGATAAAGTTCTCATTAGGGTATAAATGGCCAATGAATAGAAAAGATATTCATTACTAATAATGGAAATGTGAATTGCAACAATGGAAAGAATCAGAGACTTACTTTCAAAGCCTTTTCATGATCTCTTCTTTCTAGTAGGTAGAGAAGATGGTTTTGATGTAGGCTGATTAAATGTTCTTTTGAAATGGGGTATAGGCAGCCCCATTCCTCACATAGCTCATACTCCTGCAAGGAAACACACGTCTTCAATTCCTTTAAGTTACTGGCCATGTCATTTGTCCAATTTTTGTCTGAAAAGTTGGACAGTATAAACAGTATAAGTATGGGGCACTGTGAGTGGGAATATAATTGGGACAACCAACTTGAAGAGGGAGGGTGTTTATGCCCAATGACACAGCCATTAGAGATATATATCCAGTACATAGCATGCAGTGTATAAAGTTCTGCATAGGAACACAATGGTGATGACAGGAAAGGGTCAATTGTATTAGAGTCCATACTGGCAAGTTTTACAATTAAAAAAAAAAGAATGGGATGCAGTTACAAAAAATTGTGGACATTGATACATATAACCAGCTAAAGAGTTGAAGCTCTGGAAAGAAAAGGGAGGGAAAATGATACCTGTGCTTCCAGAATCATGTTCATGATAGCTGATGGGTCCTCAACACAGCAGCTCTTCAGGGCCTGCCAGTCACACCACACTGGGGGATCCTGCAAACCCAGAATCTAAGGAAAGACAGGAAGACCCATGAAACCACACTGTAGCTTTTTCCTCCATGAGCAAGTCACTTTTATGTCCACGGAAGGGCCTCCCCTAGATCTCTGCCCCAAAAGCAGGCCATCACTCTAGTCCAGGAAAGAGGAAAATGAATCCAAATGGGACAGAGATCATTGAGAGAGTGAACCTCTTTGGGAAGTAAAATCAGTGAGCAAAGTCTGAGTGGGAGGCTAGAATTGGAGCTTTTACTAGTAAAGATAGTTCTCTGAGGTCCAAAGCTTGTCTAGTTTTCTTAGTTCACTTGTCCCAAGCTCCTCTATATCAAAACTCCACCACAGACATTCTTTAGGATCATCTTTCCTGCAGCATGAATAAAAACTGTTAAGGTGTGAGAGTAAACCTTTCTCTCCTGCCATGTTTTCTGTCTCTAGTGAAGCTCTGGATTCAGTTCTGTTCAAAAACACATGGGAAGAACAGAATGTATTGTGTATTACTTATGTAGCTGCACTTCTTGAATCTGCCTGCTTGAGCCTCTTCAGCTTGGATATAATACATATCCCTCAAAAATCTTTCCCTTTTGAAATTTCAATTGTCATGCAAGCTTTCAAAATGGACCTTGAATTACCTGAAATTTAGAATAATTTTTAAGAAAAGATATATCAAAGCTCAAGTACACATTGTGGAGCAATGTTAATGTTGTTTTTATTATCTTTGCTTAATTCAAATGTATTTAAAACAATAGGAATAAATAACACTGGAACCAGATAGAGGGCCTTTTCCTTGTTCACTTAAGAATGGATGTCAGATGTACAACCAAAGTCAGACCTATATTTTCTGTTTTTAAAACTTCCCCATAGGCCAGGTGCCGGTGGCTCATGCCTGTAATCCTAGCTACTCAGGAGGCTGAGATCTGAGGATTGCAGTTCAAAGCCAGCCCTGGCAGGAAAGTCTGTAAGACTCTGATCTCCAATAAACCACTAGAAAACCAGAAGTGGCACTGTGGCTCAAGCGGTAGAGTGCTCACCTTGAGCTTTAGAGTGCAGAGACAGCACCCAAGCCCAGAGTTCAAGCCCCACAACCGACCAAAAACAACAACAAAAAACAACAAAAAAAACTTCCCCATCACACACAAATAGGCTGAGGGTTGGCTATATGTGAGAAGCTTGTTTCCTTCTCTTGATGCCAGAATCCCATACCTTCTGATACACTTGCAGCTCTGCCAACTTCCTCTGCAGCTCAGACTTTAAACCTTCTTGGATAGCTTTATCTGAAATGCAGTAAGCTAAGATCTCCAGACATGACTCCAGGGGCCACCTGTCCATAAACTGCAAGGCCAGCCGACTTCTCAGACATGCATCCTTCACAGGAAACAGATATCGCCATGCTTCCTTGTCTATAAAACAAAAGTAATATCCAGATATACGTTTTTGGCACATTGTGTATATAGCACTCTTTCAAACTTATTTCATCAGTGAAAGCTGAGTATTCCCCTGCAATTTCTACTTAAGAGCTATTTCAGATAAATGATTTTACTTCACTGGGTATTTTGTTTTATTTGTTAGATCTCTTACTCTCATACTTATTTCACAGATTTGGCAAAGAAATATAAAAAGCAGACCCCAAGCAATTTAGACCACATAGCCTTTGTGTTGATTCTTACCTTCTTCAGGAGGAATTTTTCTCCTTTCTTCAAGTAGCCAAGCTGCCTACCCAAAAGCCATTCCATACAGGTCATCCAATTCTTGCTTTCCCTAGTGAAGTGTGATAACTCACCAGCTTTCCACCTGATTACAAATGACAATTTCCCAGGGAGTGTTGTGTGTGTGTGTGTGTGTGTGTGTGTGTGTGTGTGTGTGTGTGTGTGTGTGTGTATGTGTGTGTGTGTGTGTGTGTGTGTGTTGGTACAGGGGATTGAACTCGAGGCCTTGTGCTCTCTCAAATTTTTTGCTCACAGTGGGTATTCTACCATTTGAGCCACACCTCTAGGCCAGCTTTATTGCTGGTTAATTGGACATTAGAGCTTTGTAGACTTTTCAGCTTGTGTTGAACCTCAATCCTCATATTTCAGCCTATTAAGTAGCTAGAATTACAGGTGAACTGCCAGAGCCGATTCCTAGGGAGATTTTAAAGCAGGGATAATTGAACAGGCTCATAGTTTGCTTATGCTTTATTTTATTATTGTTATTGTTATTATGTTATTATTATTCCAGTCCTGGGGCTTAAACTCAGGGCCTGGCACTGTCCCTGAGCTTCTTTTGCTCAAGGCTAGCACTCTTCTATTTGAGCCACAGCACCACTTCTGACCTTTTCTGTTTATGTGGTACTGAGGAATTAAACCCAGGACTTCATGCATGCTAAGCAAACACTCTACCACTGTTTTTATTTTTTAGTTAACTAATTAAAAGATTCCATCTATGTAGCTCAGATTGGTCTTATGATCTTCTAGCTTTAGCCTCGCACTAGGAATATAGGCATGTGCCATGATAGCTTAATTTATTTTTGCAAATATAATTAGAATATATTTATATATATGTATATATACATACATGCTTTATGTATTGATTATGGTTGCTTTCATGTTATAGTGGTAGAGCTGAGTAGTTGCAACAAAGAGTGCATGGCCTACAAAGTTTTTTACAAAAAAACTTTTCTGATATTTATTTGTGCTGGTCCTGGAGCTTGAACCCAGGACTTGCTTTGCTCAAGACTAGTGCTTTACTACTTGAGCCATACCTCCACTTTGGCTTTTCGTTGTTAAATTGGAGATAAAGGTCTCATGGACTTCCCTGCATGTTCTAGTTTTGAATCTCAATTTTAAGATTTAGCCTCCTGAGTAGCTAATGTTGCAAGCATGAGCCACTGGCACCTGGCCTCTGATTTGTCTTTTTTTTTTTTTTTTGTCGGTCTTGGGGCTTGAACTCTGGGCCTGGGTGCTGTCCCTCAGCTCTTCAGCTCAAGACTAGCGCTCTACCACTTGAGCCATAGCACCACTTCCATTTTCTGGTGGTTTACTGGAGATAAGAGTCTCATGGACTTTCCTGCCCGGGCTGGCTTTGAACTGCTGATTCTCAGATCTCAGGCTCCTGAGTAACTAGGATTATAGGAGTGAGCCTCCACGCCCAGCTGACTTGTCTTTTAAAGTAATCCCATCCTTGAACTACATCCTGGGTCTCTGAGAACAGGACGCAGATTATTTGTCATTTTTAGAATTTCACAATAATTTTGATACATAGGATTAAAGAATATTGATTGTTGGTTTTATGTACTCATACAAAGTTCAAACAGATTTGGGTTCTAAGCTCTATTCTACCATTCTGGGCAAATTTTCTAACCTAACTCTTGGACTCCAGTAAATAGTTTTTGGTTGTTGTTTTTGTGTGTGTGTGCTGGTCCTAGGGCTTTGAACTCAGGGCCCGGGCACTGTCCCTAACTTTACTGCCCAATGCTAGTGCTCTATCTCTTGAGCCACAGCTCCACTTGTGGCTTTTTTGGTGGTTAACTGGAGATAAGAGTCTCACAGACTTCCTTGCCCTGCCTGGCTTTAAAATGCAATCCTCAGATCTCAGCCTCCTGAGTAGCTAGGAATACAGGCCTAAGTCACTGGTGCCCAGCAATGATGATACTTTTCTCTAGCGTTTATGATGACACTTTTCTCTAGCGTTATTCTAAGCACTACATGTGAATGCTAAATGTTACAATTATTACAGGTGAAAGAGGAAGGCGCAGCTTTTTGCTTACCACATGCGACAGCACAGCTCAGGACTGCATCCCAAACGTGGCTCAGATCATCTGTGTCTTGCCCATATACCTCAGTGAGCTGAAGGGCCCGTGGCCAATCTCTGGCCACCAGGGCTTCTTTGAATGCCCCAATCAACACATCTAGGGCAATAGGAGAATGCAGGCCCAGGAGCACAGTAGAGAGGCTGGTGCGACCGCAGAAACTAGCTGCCAGACTCCTTCCCTGCTCGGAGGATCCATGGAGAGGCTCCCAGGTAGCTAAGAGAGAGGCCTCAAGCACAGGGAACTGTTCCAAGAGGTGCTCACACTCCTTGGTGATCTGTTCTACAGTCAGAGGCACTTCTTTGCGACCACACAGCTCCTTCCACAAGCTGGTCTTACTAACCTTTGTCCCTGGGGAAGCTCCTAGGCAAGCAATAGTAGCCAGTAGCTTTGAATGGGACTTTAGGAAGGCCAAGGCAGAGGAGGTGAGAGCTGGGGTTGGTGAGTCTTTTGGAGAGGAATGGAGCTTTTTCTCTGGTGTGAGATTCTCATTTGGTCTAGGGGAGCTTGGTCTAGAGAGGGGGATGTCATCCAGGCAGTTGGATATATGTTGCTGGGCCAAGATGCCCAGGTGAGTCAGAAGGGATGATGCCTGCTGGCTTTGCAGAGAAGGGCAAAGACTAAGGGGCTCACAGCAGCAGTTGACAATGACCTGAGGCACACTTAGGCTGAGTCCTTCTTGGGCCAGAAGGTCCGCCAACCTGAAGGAAGAGAGGCAGAGGGCTAAGTACATGGAAACCATCACCTGATTTTACAATTTATGTTTACGCAACAAACGTTATCATTTGCTATTAATCATTCCCCTCTTAAAAAACAACAACATGGGGGGGGGGTGCCAGTGGCCCATGCCTGTAATCCTAACTACTCAGGTGGCTGAGATCTGAGGATCACAGTTCAAAGCCAGCTCGGGCAGGAAGATCTCTGAGACTCTTATCTGCAATTAACCACCAGAAAACTGGAAGTAGCTCTGTGGCTCAAGTGGTAGAGCGCTAGCCGTGAGCTGAAGAGGTGAGGGACAGCGCCCAGGCCCAAAGTTGAAGCCTCATGACTGACAAAAGAAAACAAAAAATAAACAAACAAACAAAAAAGCAACATAAAAGGTAGCATATTAGATACATTGGTCTGTCTTTTGCTTTTCACTGAATAGCCTACCTGACTCTCATGCTTTCTTTAAAGTATGCTCTTATATGGATGAGCTATAACCTAACTATTCTGTTGTTAGTGGACAACATAGTTTTCTGATCTCTTGCATATACATCACTTTCTACCTGTAGAGGTGCAGAATTAATTGCCCAACATGGATTCCTAAATCAAAGGACACATAAATTTGTAAATTACATAGACTTTCACAAACTGCTTTTCTACAAGATTTGTACCCCACTGGGGTATAAGAATGCTTATTATCCAATCTACACAACCACTGTCACCAAATTTTTGGATTTTTGTACTATCTGTATGTGGAAGTTCATCCATTAATCTTGTACTTGCCATTACACATGTTAACAAGAAAAAAAAAGAAACAAAGTTCAGTGAATTTTAATGTACTGTGGAAAGGTAGATGCACATTCAGGGCAAAATATGAAAGACCTATTTCCTTTCTGTGATTACTCCAAGTACAATACCACTGAGGCCTACATTTCTTTGATGAAATATTCAGGGAGGCCCAAGGCTGACTCCCATGGAGGTGGCTCATACCTCTGTGGGGGAACCTGTCTCTCTAGCAGGAGATGTGACAACAGTTGGGAAGAGCTCTGTTGCAGGAGAACGAAGGGATTTCCTATTTTCACCTCCATGTGATCTGCAAGGGCAAAGAATGTGATCTTTAGTTAGGTATGGGTGGCTCAAGCAGCTGAGACCTAAGGATCATGATTCAAAGACAACCTGGACAGGAAAAGTTCATGAGACTCTTATCTCCAATGAAACACCAAAAAGCTGGAAATGGTAAAGCTCCAGTCTTGAGAGAAAAAGCTAAGAGACAGCATCAGTCTGAGTTCAAGCCCCAGTACCACTAACTGCAACAGACCGGAGCTTTGTTTTCCCAAACCATTTAATTTTTCTGGGATACAATTAAGATATATTGAGAACCTTCCTTTTGATTCATGCTAGGTAAAGGATATTCACAAGCTGACTCATACCACCACAAGTTCATTTGTACATTACTACTGCTTTAAAGACTACCCAGCCAGATAAACTTTAGTGGGTAGGTCTAGCCACAGATGGGTGACTTCTGTTCACTTCAACCTGAATGAAGTACATGCAGTACAGAATGAGTAAGTCCCCGTAAACATCTGAAATGTATAGGACAAGAAGAGTTTTGGATTTTAGGATATTTGCATACATATAATGAAATGTCCTGGGGATGGGACCTAAGTCTAAACACCAGATATACTGGTTTCATTTACATCCTATACAGAGAACCTGAAGGTAATTTTACATGGATCTGTCAAATGTGGAACCTACCGCTTACGGTGTCATGTTGGTGCTCAAGATCTGTAGGATTTTGTAGCATTTAGGACTTTGGATTTTTGTGTGAGGGATGCTCTGTGAATTCAGCTAAGAATCTGGTACTCATATCAAAAGCTTGTTTTTCTACTGGCCCTCAAATTCACAAGATCTGCCAGAGATTTGTTTCTTAGTACTAACGTTTGAACTCAGGGCCTTGCTGTAGGTAGGCAAGCACTCTACCATTTGAGCCATATCCCCAGCCTTATATTTGAGTCCATGAGATTTTATTCACACTCCCATGTGTTCAACAATTATACTCAGCACAAAGATACATTAAAAAAAAAAGAAGACAGAGATGAGTTAGGGCAAAGAACCTTATGCATCTGGGCACCTGTCCTCTTCTTTGCCTAACTACTTGTACAGGCCAGTCATAACTCCGCTTCCTCTTTTTTGTTTCTTACCAGGCTCAGAGCTTAAACTCTGAAGGAGAACTGCAGCCAGGGTGCTGCAGTAGGTGAAGAAGGTGCCCACATAGTCAGTCTGCTCAATGCCTGCTGGGGCTTGTCTGCTCAGATTCTTCTGGAGGAGCTCAATCTGAATGTGAATAGGGTAGGCCTCTGCTTCAGGAGCCTTTTGGGAGGACTGCTCCACCAGGGATGTGAGAGGAGTACTCTTGGGCTCTGAGGGAAGTCAGGCAAGAGAAAGGACACAAGCTTTAGTGTATGTATCCAGCTTTTGGTCAATTTTGGACCTAATACATAAACTGAGCCTTCTATGAACGACATGGGGTCCTATGGCTTAGCTGCTATACTTAGAAGGTAGATATAAAGCACTACTTGGGAGCATAGCACTGGTGGCTCAGGTCTGTAATCCTAGGTATTCAGAAGGTATTCAGAGGATCGTGGTTCCAAGTCAGCCTGGTCAGAAAAGGCCATAAGACTGTCTCCAAGCAGCAAAAAGTAGGCATGGCTCAAGTGGTAGAGCACCAGCCAAGCATGGAACCAAATGGATACAAAGCCAGTTCAAATCTCAATACTGCTAAAAATAAAAACAAACCCCAAACCAGCCCCCACCCCCCAAAAAACACCCCTAATTCAGTCACTTGGACAAGTGATTCTCAGCCAGCAAAAACTTCTGAATTTAGCTGGATGCCAGTGGCTTACACCTGTAATCCTGGCTACTCAGGAGATTGAGATCTGAGGATCCCATTTCAAAGCCAGCTGGGGTAGGAAAGTCCATGAGACTCTTATCTCCAATTAACCACCAGAAAAACTGGAAGTGGTGCTGTGGCTCAAGTGGTAGAGTGCTCATCTTGAGCTGTAGAGCTCAGAGATAACCCCCAGGCCCAGAGTTCAAGCCCCATGACCAACAAAAGAAAACAAAAACAAACAAAAAGCCCCTCTGAATCTGGAGGAATCAGGGTCTATTATCCTGTTTTCACCTCTTGTCCCTGGGGGTAAAATCACTTTCTGAAGAGAGAACACTACAATCTTTTGGGAAAGATTGCCCAATATTGACAGAGGCCTTGCTGAGTTTGCTCACCAAGAAAGAAAAAAAAAAATCTATCTGCTCATGCAATGAGAGTCATCCTTTCAAATGTGAGGTAGAAACAGGGGGACTTTTGAGTTCTGATAATGAATTGTCTACTTCTCAAGTCTGACTTCCCAGGGCTATCTCACTCTTATCTGCTTCACTGTTCTTGAGTAGACAGCCCCATACCTGGCAGTGCTATTGCTTCTCTCAGAGATTGAAGAGTTTGATCCAGCTGCTGGGAGAGGCTGGTGTGGCTGGCAACACAGTCCTCAGTGAGTCTGGGCCAGCACATCTGAAGCAGTTCAATGATGCTGTACCGTGGAGGGCCTCCTGCTTTATCTTCTACAGCCTCTATGGAAAGCAAGAAAGTGAGAAAGAGTCAAGTCTGCTACCCATGTATTGTTCCAGTCCAGGAGAAAGAAAAAGGTCGAGGTGAATCAACTCACCTGATTTCGTTTGTCCAGTTGATGTAAGTGGGTAACTGAGAATCTTACTAATTTGCTGAAGAACAACGGGAAAACCTCGAATGCCATCAGCATGGAGGTGTGGCTGGTCTAGCCGTCGACCTGAAAACAGATGAAGGAAGAGAAAAATCAGAAAAGATAAAATACTCTCAGAGACTGAGTTCAGCATTGAATTGTGTAATTTTATCTTCTCCAATATTGACAATAAAATACATGTAGTTCCAATTTGGGTGCAAATCAGAGAACCTAGCCAGGTATATTATATTATATACCAGAGGTTTCAAGAAGCCTCTGCTGCCAAAAGCAGCTCATCCAAAACCTTCAGCCCTCCTATGGGATTAGCTAGCTTAACTCAAATGGATACTTTTTGTGAATTTGCATGGGCACTACCTACTACCTTTACCCATGAACTTGAGCTAGGATCATATCCATTTTCTTCTTCTTCTTTTTTTTTTTTCCAGGGCTGAGGACCTAACCCAGGGCCTTGTGCTCGCCAGGTGGGTGCCCTTCTGCTGAGCTAAACTCCCAGCCCCTATATCCATTTTCTCTAATTGCCTAATTCTATTTTTGATTCCTCTAAGGATTTCATACACATATTCTGGGACATTATAAACCTCAAAACATGACCTTCCCTTCAACTGTGCTGCACTGAGTTTTCTTTTATACCTTGTTTACAGCTTCTTGGTGGCCCTAAGTTTTAGGTTAAGTAGGTCCAGCCGGGAAGGAGATGTGTTCTAATGTCACAAGTGACATTTGTTCCTTTCTTTTTCTAGAGGGTGCTGGGGATGGAACCCAGGGCCTCATGCATACTAAACATATATTCTAGCACTGAGCTACAATTCCAAACTCATTTGCTTTTTGTTTTTTTGGGGGGTTGGTTGTGGGACTTGAACTCAGGGGCTACATGTTGTCCCTGAGCTTTTTTGCTCAAGGCTAGCACTCAACCACTCTTGGTTTTGAAGTGGTTAATTGGAAATAAGAGTCTCAAGGACTTTCCTGCCTGGGCTGGCTTTAAACTGTGATTCTCAGATCTCAGCCTCCTCAGTAGTTAGGATTACAGCCGTGAGCCACTAGTGCCCAGATCTCTCTGACCCTTTATTTTTAATATACATTTCCTCCTTGAATTTAATAAAAAACCAGAAAAGAGTTTCCCAAAATGACTACAGACTGCTATATCCACTAAAAATATGAGATATTCAGGGCTGGGGTATAGTTCAGTGGTAGTGCACTTGCTTAGCACATGTAAGGCCATAGATTCCAACTACAGCATTGCAAAAATAAATAAATAAATAAAATTTCTCCTTGTCCTCCTTCCTCTAATAACCACCTTCCTCTTGCAGGGATAAAGGGACAGGGTTAATGCTGCCCACTCACCCCGGCTCTCAAGGCTGCTGTTCAAACGCCGTTCAGCTGTTTCCAAGAGCTGTTTGCAGGTTTTCCAGAGCTGGCACTGAGAGCAAGCAAGGTCAAATGCAGCCATGGCGGGGGGACTGAGATCCTCCAGAACCTCTCTCAGTGGAGCAGTGGGCTCCATGGGAGCAGTGTTTATCCAAAAGTCCTCCTGAAGTGTGGGGATGGGTTCTCCAGAGGTGCTGAGCAGCTTCTCAGTCACATCAGAAATGGAGTAAAATACTATCCCTGGATAATCAGCAGTGGACAAAAAGCAAGGGGTTAAAGTGACTCTGACTACTATTTCTATCATGAAAAATAGTTGTTTAAAAAACAAACCCTTAATATTGTTCTGCACAGGATCTATGATTATTAGTACCATTTTTTTTTTTTTTTAGTTGGTTGTGGGGCTTGAACTCTGGGCTTGGGCGCTGTCCCTGCACTCTTCAGCTCAAGGCGAGCACTCTACCGCTTGAGCCACAGTGCCACTTCCAGTTTTCTAGTGGTTTACTGGAGATCATAGTCTTACAGACTTTCCTGCCTGGGCTGGCTTTGAACCGCGATCCTAGATCTCAGCCTCCTGAGTAGCTAGGATTACAGGCGTGAGCCACTGGTGCCCAGCTATTAGTACCATTCTTATAGCCTATTCTTTTTTTTTTTCTTGCCAGTTGTGGGACTTGAACTCAGGGCCTGGGTGCAGTCCCTGAGCCTCTCTGAGCCACCAGATCCCAGCTTTACAACCCATTCTCATAATACCAAAGGCATGAAGAGAAATTTGGGATGGCTGAGATGAGGGAGGGCTTCTTCAAAACAGGTTCTAAAACCAGGCTAGGAAAGAAGAATATTTATGTGTGTTAATTAGAAATGATCCCCACAATTAGTTGCTAAAAAGGTAAGGTGGCCAGGTGCTGGTAGCTCACGCCTATAATCATAGCTACTCAGAAGGTTGAAATTTGAGGATCACAGTTTGGAGTCAGCCCAGGCATGAAAGTCCATGAGACTCTTACCTCCAATAAACTACTCAGAAAAAAAAAACAAAAACAAAAAAAAAAAACAAAGTGGTGCTGTGGCTCAAGTGTTAGAGTGCTGCTAGCTTTAAGTACAAAGAAGCTCAGGGACATCTCCTAGGCCCTGAATTCAAGGCCCAGGACTGGAGAAAAAAAAAAAGTAAGGTAGAAACTGTTTTAAGAGTCCATTTATGGGGCTGGGAAGGTGGCTCAGTGGTAGAACACTTGCCTTGCATGTTCGAGGCCCTGGGTTCGATTCCTCAGCACCACATAAGAAAAAAGCCGGAAGTGGCGCTGTGGCTCAAGTGGTAGAGTGCTAGCCTTGAGCTGAAGAGCTGAGGGACAGCGCCCAGGCCCAGAATTCAGGCCCCACGACCGGACCCCAAAAAAAAAAAAAAAAAAAAAAGAGTCCATTTATATCAACAATATGAAGATGTGCTTTTATTTTTTGTGCCAATACTGTGGCTTGAACTCAGGGTATGGCTGCTGTCTCTTATTAGTTTTTTGCTCAAGGCTGGAACTACCACTTGAACCACACCTCCACTTGCAGCTTTTTGCTGATTAAAAGGGCTTGAACTGTGATCCTCAGATCCTCCCTAGTAGCTAGGATAATAGGAGCCACTGGTGCTTGGCATCTACACACACACACTTAAAATAAGTGTAGGACATTTCTGGAAAAACATGGTGCTAACTTGAATACAGAATCAAGTCTAGTATAAGATATGTAAATATAAGATAAGATTCTACTTCTGTCTGGCTGGGAAGGTGGCTCAGTGGTAGAGCGCTTGCCTTGTATGCATGAGGCCCTGGGTTCGATTCCACAGCACCACATAAGCAGAAAAAAAAGCCGAAGTGGCGCTGTGGCTCAAGTGGTAGAGTGCTAGCCTTGAGCTGAAGAGCTGAGGGACAGCGCCCAGGCCCAGAGTTCAGCACCCCCCCCCCCCCAAAAAAAAGATTCTACTTCTGAGAAATTATGAAAGATGAGCTGTTTGATTGTAAGCTACAGTTGGCAATTGAGGCATGTGGATCCCAGGCTACATGTTATTACAGGACATGATTATAAAGGAAGGAAATAAAGTCCCAACCATTTCTTGAAGCCTGAGCTAGTGGCTGTAAAACACATGCTGGGAACAGCATTGATACTTTCTAGTTAAAGTCACAGAGGACTCAAATAGAAGTTATATGAACACTTGATCAGAGGCTGGATGCAATTAGAAAATGTCTCTGCATGCATCAGAAATGCATTCTGGTTTTTTGTTGTTGTTGTTGGTGGGGCTTGAACTCTGGGCTTGGCAGCTGTCCTTGAGCTCTTCAGTTCAACACTAGTGTTCTACACTTTGAGCCACAGTGCCACTTCAGGTTTTCTGGTAGTTAACTGGAGATAAAGTGTCTCACGAGCTGGGCGCTGGTGGCTCATGCCTGTAATCCTAGCTACTCAGAAGACTGAGATCTGAGGATCATGGTTCAAAGCCAGCCTGGGCTGGAAAGTCCCTGAGACTCTTATCTCCACTCAGAAAACTGGAAGTGGTGATGTGGCTCAAGTGGTAGAGCACTAGCCTTCAGCTGAAGAGCTGAGGGACAGCACTCAGGCCCAGAGTTCAAGCTCTAGGACTGACAAAAAAAGAGTCTCACAGACTTTCTTGCCCAGGCTGGCTTTGAACTGTACTCCTGAGTAGCTAGGATTACAGGCATGAGCCAATGGTGTATGGCTGCTTTTTTTTTTTTTTAACGGCAGTGTTAATCCTCAGCTCTACCCAGACCTGAGCTCCCCCCTGCCCTGGAGTTCCGGTCCTACAGCTGGCCACTCCCTCTCTCCACCCAGACTCACCCCCACACACATTTTCTCTCACTTCCTGGAGACAGACCCATGACTTGGATGGGGGCAGATGACATGTGTTCCCTCTCCTGGAGAGATATGGCCCCTCTAATAAGCCTTACAATAATGTTTCTTCTGTGCCTGCCTGCCTCTGCATGGTTCCCTGGGATAGTTCTGAAGGATCCTTTCATGTAGTGCACGAAACCCGTGATTGGTTCCACGGTGGATTTGCCCTCCCCTCCACTTCAGATAGGGGTCCGACAGCTGCCCAGGACCTAGCCTGAGGTCCTACACTCCTGTCACTAGAGGACCACCAAGGTAACTTTCTCCTGCCTGAGCACTCTACCTCCTGCCCATCCAACACTGACTAATTTGTTCCTACTTCAGGGTAAGTAACCAGAAGATCCTGGGTTCCACCATATTAAGGCCACCTGGGCCTTGGTGGGCTGCTGAGCTCCCATATAAGACTACCTGGGCCTTGGTGGGCTACTGAGCCCCGATCAGAAGATGGTTGGCAGCAAGTTCTAGTTCCAAAGGTCACTTGCCTTGGGAAGGACACAACTAAATTTTTTTACAGGGGCTGCTGGGTGCTGTGACTCAAGTGGTAGAGTGCTAACCTTGAGCTGAAGAGCTGTGGGACAGCGCCCAGGGCCAGAGTTCAGGCCCCACAACTGGACCCTCCTTCCCCCCCCCCCCCCAAAAAAATCTCTCCTTTTTTTTTTTTTTTACAATCAACTTTGGCCCCAAATTTGAGTGCTCGTGCAAGTAAAACTTTCTTTCTTCCTCCTCTCTGTCCCTTCTCTCTCTGTAAATTGCTCTCTTCCTCACTCTCTTTAAAATCTTTGTGCACAAGAATGTTAAGCGTATGTAAGCCCGTTAAGAAACTCCCAAGATTATTGCATTGTTTCAAAGAGAAATTTTAGTTAAGTTACTTGCTAAAAGGTCTTTAACTAGTATGTGTAGAGATTTTGCAGGTAAACAGCAGTAAGTGTGACAATGTATACATGCTGGGAGACACCACAGCCTAGCCCAGACCCTGGCTTGCTCCATCACACATGACCACAGCCTGCTGATTTGAGGTGAAAAGCACAAGCCATTTCAGATCCACTAAAGCTCAGACCTTTATATTGTCCTGATTTGTTTGTGTTCCCTTCCACCTGTAGGATACCAGGCCCCCAGACAGGACACCACTTGGGAACAAGTCCAGGCCAACCTGTTACTACAGGCAACTGGAGACTTCAGTTACACTGCCCTGCCTTGCCCAGTGTAGACCCAGGCCCTAAAAACCCCAGCTCCTTGATGCCTCCAGGCCAGCAGGAAGTAGCCAAAGGTGCCTATGACACCTGTTGGCTCTGATAACTACTTGGACCTTCACCAACTATCAAGCAACTGCTTCTTGTACTTGTCCGAGCACCAAAGCAGAGACCTATGAATGCTTTGCCCCTTTACAGCAGCAAGTAGCTTCTGAAGAAATGACCTCCACCCTTACCCCCAGCCAGATATCCCAATTTTTATTAAACAACAAAGTAGGGAATGTTAGTATTATCCCCACCTTTAATCCTCAGCTCTACCCAGACCTGAGCTCCTCCCTGCCCTACAGCTGGCCACTCCCTCTCTCTGCCTAGACCCAACCACGCATGCATTTTACCTCACTTCTGCCCTCACTTCCTGGAGACAGACTGGAGACTTGGCTGGGGGCAGATGCCATGTCTGCCATGTTCCCTCTCCTGGGGAGATATGGCCCCTCCAATAGACCTTACAATAATGTTTCTCCTGTGTCTGCCTGCCTGGGAGAGTCCTGAAGGATCCTTTCAGGCAGGGTCCTGCTTTGAGTTCCTGCCCACTGAAATGAACAGTGTATGATTTTCCCCTCCTGGTCCTGCCCTGGCTGCCTCACCACCTATGGTAGCATCAAGGAAGCCTAACCTGCTGCTGCAGCACTGCCAATGGCCTGCAGAGTTGAACGGCCACTGTTGGTTCTCCGAATGGTGCTGCTACCCCCATCTGAGTTCTGGTTTTCAATCTTGTGCTCTACTTGGGCTAGCTCCTGGATCACCTCTTGGTAGCGTTCCACAAACATCAGTTCCCCTGCGCTGGGTGAAGACTTCAGGTTGAACATGAATACCACCTGTCATGAGAGAGGGAGGAACATTGCTGTTGTGGCCCTAAAATCTAGTTGGGAGGGACAGAAGGGTAGTGAAAGTTAAAAGAGTAGATCAAAACCAAAACTAACTCAAAGTCAGTAAGAAAACCACCAAAGACCCAGTAGAAAATAAGCAAAAAATGCAGACAATCTCAGGGAAGATAATCAGGCACTAGTATCACTAGTATAGAAATGAGAATATATTTTCCCTTACCAGCAATCTAGTAATTTAAATAGTAAGACTGTTTTATATTTATTACAATAGCAAAGTGTAAAACTAAATTCTCAGAGGATAGGGTACATCATCACATTGTTTCATAAGGTAGGTTGGCAATCTATAAAGCTTTAAAAATTACTTTTTACTCAGTTACTGAGTCAAATGAGAAGTATTCTTAAGGAAATGATCCAAAAGATTTAATGCCCAAAGGTGATCATCTTGGCAGATTACAACCATTACAAAGTTTAAAATACTCTAGGGGATGGACAAAGAAAATGGTTATTTGCTACCTGGTTAGATGATAGTATGAGGTGATTAAAATTACAGTGATTCTAAGGTAAATGCTTTTAATGGAAAAAAGACAAGTTAAATTCAAAATAATTTCAGCTAAATAAAAGATATATCTTGGAAAGATATTAGCTGAAATCTTTAGCATTGGCTGCTCTATCCAATAGGGTTAAAAGTGAGTTTATTTTCCAGTAAATACTTTTTTTTTTTCTGGTATAGGGGTTTGAACTCTGGGTCTCCTACTTACTTGGCTTGTATGCTAGTCTGGTGCTCTCACATTTAAATCATGGCTCAAACCCTTGCAAATACTTTTGATGTTTTCTTGTAATATGAACAACTTGTTCAGTAACCTGGATAAAACATGTTTTTATGAAAAAGAGAAGAGGAGGAGGAGAAGGAACAATGTTTTCCTTTTTTTGTGTATCCTTATTAGAGCTAGAATTCAGAACCTGGCTGCTATTACTAAGCTTTGTTTACTTAGGGCTAGTGCTCTACCACTGAGCTACAAGGACCACCACCACCAAAAATACCCCCAAAGAAACATATTGAACGGTGGGTCAATGGTGAACTGTCAGCCTAGCATGGGAGAGGCCATGTGTTTGATCCACAGCACTGCAAAGTCAAAACAACAAAAATAAAGACTAGGAGGGTCTTATCCTGGAGAGGATCAAATTGATCATAATCATTAAAGTATGAGATCTAAAATGAGGAAATTAAGGACATCCTATTACTTAGATTTCTAGTAGAATTATTCCCTAACAAAACTCACATATACATCCAGTCTGACACATTGGAAGAATGCCATTTTATGCTATTGAGTTTAACCAAGAGCATAAGATTCTTGCATTTCTCACAGGTTGTGGCATATCCTTTTACTATTCCTATGAGGTGAAAAAGGCAGTATTACATTTAACTCCAATTTTCAAATAAGGATATAGCGACTGAGTCTCTCCGTTGGCAACCCTATACCAAAGACATTCTAAGTTTACTAGCCTCTTATTCCTTTTTTTCCCCCCTAGTATAGGGGTTTGAATTCAGGGCCTTTGCCTGCTCAGCTTACATGCTTGGATGTTGTTCTATCCCTTAAATTATGTCTCTTGCTTGGCTTTTTGCTGGTAGTTTTGGAGACAATGCCTTGCAGTTTTTGCTTGGGTAGACTTTGAATCATTATCCTTTGGATCTCAGCCTTCTGAGTTGCAAAGACCATAGGCATGAGCTACCAGTGACTGGCTCTCTGCCTTCTTATGTTTTGAACTAGCACCTTATTACTAAAACATGCAACATGGTTTTAACTATAAACAAGGAGTACAAGAAAAAATATTTCACTGTTTTGCAGTGGTGGGATTATGGTTGCTTAATTATTTTTTTTTTTTTACAGGTTCAAATCTTTAGCTTAATTCTTTCATCTTGTTAAAATGTTATGTTAAGAACACAAATAACAGGCTGGGACGTTGGCTCAGTGGTAGAGTGCTTGCCTCACATGCATGAGGCCCTGGGTTTGATTCTTCACCACCACATAAGTAGAAAAATCCAGAAGTGTTGCTGTGGCTCAAGTGGTAGGGCTCTAGCATTGAGCTGAAGAGCTGAGGGACGGCACCCAGGCTCAGAGTTCAGACCCCATGACCAACAAAAAACAAACAAAAACAAAAACACAAATAATGCAATGCCTCTAAATCAGTGATGCTGAGGACTGAGTCTGGATACACGGAAACTTATTTCTACTTTTCTAGCTCACATGTCTCTTCAAGTATTCCTGGGTGGTTCTGGTGTCTGGGCTTTATTGAAGCCCAGTGCGCCACAGTCAACTAGGGATTTGACCTAGCATTCTTTCCTGTGACAAGGTGATGCTGAGGATTCCCTTACCTGATGAGCTTCTGCAAAGTTCCCACGAAGGATGCAGGATGCTAGCAGTGACTCAGGTGGGGAGAACATCATGGGGATGAATGAACTTTGAGATTGGGGCTGTGACTGGCCATCCAGCTCATTCCATCTACACACACCACTCACGCTTCCCTCTGCAGGGACATAAGCGCGTGAGCAGTCAGGGAAAGCAAGAACTAAGACAACAGGATGCCACCTTTCATTAAAGTCTTATCTTCTCAAAGTCCTTCTCCAAAGGTCTGAAACAACCTTTCTTCATGTGAAGAGACAAACACATGACTCTCATCTTAGAACACAGAACGAATTGCTTCTTGTGTGTTTGCCTCTTAGGCATTTTTCTCTGCAGAGGAGTAGCTGAACTGGCAATGTAAACAGCACTTTCCCTTTTCCCAGCTGAAATCCGTTTGTCTGTGGACCCACTTTCTTGAACATAGGCATTTAAATAGGCTCATTCCTGGTTTTTACACCATGGAATATGACAGCTCTATTGGGGTAAAGCTGCTTAAATCTGACAACTGATTAGGGACCCACATACCTGAGGTACTTGTGCTCAGCTCACTACTTGTACTTTCCAGGGACAGGTTGGAGCCTCTGTCCAGTCCATCTAGAAGAATCAGGAAAAAGAGAAAAATCAATCTACTCCTTACACTGTAAAAAGTGTGATATCAGCTTACAAACCAAGATCTGGATAAACTGAATACTACACCAGCTGTACCTTTTATAGCAAGGGTTAAGTGCAGGTTTATTATGACCACAGAGTTCCCTTTGGTAGTAGTTTATACCAATGGTTCCCAACTTGTGGGTTTTAGAGCTCCTGAAACTCTCAAGTGATTTCTAGGATCAAAAGCTGCTATCTTCTCTCTAAGACTAGCATTACTGTGAAAAAACAAAAGCAACCACAATTATGAAGCAGGAAACAATATAGTACAATAAAAGTTCACTATATTTTTCTGATACAGAAAAAGGTGTCCTCATACTTGAAAAGGAAACCAAAGTATAAGAGCTGGCCTGGCAAACACCAAACTGTTCAAAGACCTGGAGGAAATACTTCCAAGGCCAGGTTTCAAGAAGTGTTAGAGCTTACCAAGAAGGTTGTCTGTCCATTTGTGAGATCATATGGTGTTCTATCATTCAAGTCCACTTGAATCACTGTTTGTACTTGTAGAAGGAGCAGACAATCACAGGGGAGAGGTGATGGAAGTACATTCTTGGGCTAGATGGCCAAGTGGGTGCAAAATCTGCCTTCTGCCCCAGATCAATAACCAAGTGGCTTTGGGCTACCTTAGAAAATCAGCCTTGAGGTTTCTCTTATGGCATCTTCTTCTGCACTCAGTACGTTCACTTTCCTTATTGCACTTAATTGGAACCCACTCATTCTTTGATACCCAGTTCCATATTCAACGCCTTCATAAATTTTTTTCCATTACTTTGGAGGCTATGCTGATGCCCCCTTCTAAAAGAATTCTTTGTTTTGTGGTAGTACCTCAGTTCAGTTTGGCTTTTTGTGTATACTGGGTATATTGGTATATTATACATTCTTTGATGAAAAGACTTAGTTTATGCCTCATTCAAGATACCCAGTAATAATGTTTTGCTTGAGACAATTCTTATTTATAAATACACTCCTAAATAATGCCACTACATTTAATTCTTCTAGGAACTTATTAGTCACAAGACAAAATAGAAAAAGAGTTAATAGTACAGAATGACATGCTTCCCTTTCTACATAAAGAGTTTTTTATAATTAAATAAGAAAGATGAGCCCAATAGAAAAATGGACCTTATGCCCAGTCTGTTAATCCTAGCTTCTCAGAAAGCTGGGATCTGGAGGATTATGGTTTAAAGCCAGATGAAGCAGAAAAGTCTGAGAAACTGTCTTCAATCAAAATAACCAGCCAAAGAAGCTAGACCAGAAAGTGATAAAGTGCCAGCTGATTAAACAAACTGAGTAATTGAGAGGCCCTGAGTTCAAACTCCAATACCAGCAAAAGAAAAAAAAAGTCTTCAGGTATGATTTCATAGGTCACAGAAAAATGTTATTGGCTAATAAAGGTTAAAAAATTAAAGCCAGGTGCCGGTGGCTCACACCTGTAATCCTAGCTGCTCAGGAGGCTAAGATCTGAGGATCGCAGTTCAAAGCCAGCCTGGGAAGGAAAGTCCGTGAGACTCTTATCTCCAATTAAACACCAGAAAACTGGAAGTGGAGCTGTGGCTCAAGTGGTAGAGTGCTGGTCTTGAGCTCAAGAGCTGGAGGACAGCACCCAGGCCCAGAGTTTAAGCCCCATGACCAACTCTCAGATCCTCCCCAAAATTTCAAACTATAAAAATTAAACAATGAAATATCATTATTCTGTTAGCAATTTAAAATAATCTGATATTACTCAATGATAGTCAATATGTAAAGAGGCAATCACATATTTGTTAGAAATATATGAATTGGTCAACCTTTTTACACTGAGTTCTAAGGCAATTTGGTAATTCAGTATATATTGTATTTATTTTTGATGGTACCATGGTTTGAACTTAGGGCCCTGTGCTTGCTAGATAGGTGCTCTGCAACCTTAACCATGTCTATAATCCCCTCTTGTTTAAGGTTACTTTTCAGATAGAGCCTTCCCCTACCTCCCCTGGGGCCACCTAGATTGATTCTCTTTCTTTCCCCCTTGCCTAGCTAGAATTACAGGAGCATGTCACTACATCATCTTGTTTAATGAGCAAAGATCTAGAAAACTTTGCGTGGGATGATCCTGAACTGCAATTCTTTCTATCCTTGTCTCCTGAATAGTAAGGATGATAGGTATGTGCTACCACTCGGTATCTTTGACCTAGACACTCCGCTAGGAACTTACTCTAAACTCACAGAAGTATACACAAATATGCATAAGGTTGTTTACTGTAGCACTATTTTTTTTTTTTGGTCTGGTCCTGAGCCTGAACTCTGGGCCTGGGTGCTGTCCCTCAGCTCTTCAGCTCAAAGCTAGTACTCTACCACTTGTACCACAGTGCCACTTCTGGCTTTTTTTTTCTGCTTATGTGGTGCTGAGGAATCGAACCCAGGGCCTCATACATGCAAGACAAGCACTCTAACACTGAGTCACCTTCCCAGCCCCTGTAGCACTATTTTTTAATAGTGAAAAACTGGACACAACTGCAATGTCTATGAGCAGCTGTGTGTATACAGGGCAATGGGATATTAAGTAGCTTTTGAAATGTTAGGTGAAAGCAGTTTTTCTTAATATGTAGTATAGACCCATCTGTATGTGTAAAAGAATATAGTGAAAAAAGGCAGGTGGCAGTTCTTCACATATATACACACACACACACATATATATGTAATATATATAATACATCTGTATACATGAAAAGATATGCATATGTATGTACTTTGCATGGAAGATTTCTGGGAGGATATGTCAGAGACTATTAACAAGAGTTAACTTGGGATGGGGGGTGGCACTAATCTTATAACACTTTCATTTGTTCTGACCATGCGCTCCAGCTTGAAGAGGTAGTATTCCACTTGCCTGGTGTATGGAAATGAGGCATGAGGAAAGAGAATTCTTCAGTTTACCTGCCCGGCTTCTTTTTGTCCGCCGACCCCGTCGGAGACTAGAGTGCCGTGCAGCAATGGACCGGTATCTTCGGGATGGCTGCTTCTCTGAAACAGCAAACAAGGAGAGTGATCCCCTTTGATCTGACTCAGTTCCTTTAGGGAGACAGGGAGATAACCTATCCTGAGTGCTGAGATGGAGAGCACTATACCAGTGTTCTGATGCTGGTTGCTGGGGTGGTATCTTCAGTTGTGATGCCTATGACTCCTAACTTACTTCCTCCCAACTTGTTAGACCTACCAGTTCTATTCTTTTCTCTTACCTGAACCTTGGTTGCTTGTTACCACCTTATATCTCCACTGGGCCTCAGAGAGAATCTTGGAAAATTGGTGCAGGCGGGTCTGCAGTCCTTCTCTGCTTCCTAAGCAGCTCTGGCCTTCTAGCAGGGTTGCATTCTCAGGGGAGCTGTGGCTGCTGATCTCTTCCAGCTGCTCCTGAAGAAGCCTGAGGAAGGCCCCCATTGCAAATTCATCAGCCAGGAATCCACTGCTGCCACTAATAAAGTGCTTTAGATCCAAAAAGCAACTCCCATGAGGCTCTGAGAAACCATCTTTGAGCTCTGTCTTTAGGCAGTTTGGCACTGAATGTGCATGACCCCTGTGGGCGCCTAGGGAACTGTGTTCTGACTTCCTGTCAGGCTGTGCTATGTGTTGAGGGCTCTCAGATGGGGACCTCACATCCAAGGGGCCTTTCCCCTCAATGTCCTCATCCTCAGCATAATCCTCAGGCAGGTGAGGCTCTGGGTGAAGATCAGCAGAGGTGATGAGGAGCAATGAGAAGATGTTTTCAAGAAGTTCCAGGCACAAAGGGTCAGGGATCCTGCACAGGTACTGTTGACACTTGGCCAGGTATGTTGAGAAGAGATGAGAAGCACCTAAAGATGTAGGTAGAAGAAAAGAGAGGAAGTGAAAAGACAGAATGCACACATTAGCAACTTGGCTTGCTGGACTCGAGTCTCAGAACTTTAAACTTATTTCTTTATTTTTGTTTTAGCAAGGAGAAATTTACATCTGTGCAGAAGGGTGCTCGATCAGCCAAAAATCTGGCAAGCAAGCAAGAACACAGAACAGCTAGTCTGCTCTGACATTTATCTCTAATGCAACAGACCCTGACCCTCTGCTCAGACTTAAGGATAGCTCACTGAACACTTGTTATTTTGTTTCTGCTTTTAAAATATAATTCTTGGGGCTGAGAAGGTGGCTCAGTGGTAGAGTGCTTGCCTTGCATGCATGAGGCCCTGGGTTCGATTCCTCAGCACCACATAAGCAGAAATAAAAAAGCTGGAAGTGGTGCTATGGCTCAAGCAGTAGAGCGCTAGCCTTGAGCTGAAGAGTTGAGGAACAGCGCCCAGGCCCCGAGTTCAGGCCCCACGACTGGACCCCCTCCCCCCCCCCAAAAAAATAAAAATAAAATATAATTCTTTTTTTTTTGTTACAGACACTTCATGTTTTAGTTCCAGTAATGAAGTTGGTGTGCAGACTCTATGGTCCTCACACCTGTTTCTCTTCTTCCTTTCCTTTTTCCTCTCACTCCCCCGCTTTCTCACTTCCCTTCTTCTCCACGCCTTTCCTTCCTTCCTGCTCCTCTCCCTCTCCCTCCCTCCTTCCTTCCTTCAAAACAGACTCTTATTATATAGCTCAGGCTGTATTTAAACTTGTAATTCTCTTACCTCATCTTTCAAGTGATGGGATTAAAGATATACATCATCATGCCCTACTCCTCAGTTCTATTTTACGTATGATCACAAGTTGCCTAGACCTTACAAGAAAACATTCTGTAGTAAAAATTGCTCATGCTCAGAAGTGAATGTCTAATCTGAAGTAAGAGAGAGATAACTGAGCAATAATAGGCAATAATTGGCTGGAAATGTGGCTTAGCGGTAGAGTACTTGCCTAGCATGCATGAAGCCCTGGGTTTGATTACTCAGTACCACATATACAGAAAGCCAGATGTGGCATTACGGCTCAAGTGGTAGAGTGCTTAGCTTTGAGCAAAAGAAGCTCAGGGACAGTGCTCAGGCCCTGAGTTCAAGCCCCAGGACTGGCCAAAAAAAAAAAAGGAATGAGAAGTTATTAAGAAAAACAAGGGAGGATAGGCCACTAGGTTGGCATTTCTCACACTACAGATTACAACTCATTGAAATCAACTTAGAGGGTTGCACTGAAAGGATGAAATGAAATCTGATGTAGTGTCTGTCTGTAACTCAAGTACTCATGAGGCTGAAGTGGAAGGACTGAGAGTTTGAGGTTAGCTTGGGTTACGTTAGGTTATGTTGAAACTCAAGCTTACATAAGTAGAGGAAAAAAAATACAAAACAGAAAAATAACCACAACTTAATCATAAGTGTTCTTTTAGAAGAATAAAACTTAGTTTCGGTTTATATATCACATATATACATATGCATGCACATACATAGAAAAAGCTGCATGCCTTGGTAAAAACTGCAGTGTGATGTGAAATGTGAAAGCAAGCAAGCAAGAAAGACAGTGTTTGGCAAACACTACACTAAGTGATCAAATTCCATTAAAGTTTAAACTAGTCTTTTCCTTCAATCCTGGTGAGAAAAGATAACCACAGGAAACACTGGGGGGAGCTCACAGCATCTGCCAAGGATTGGGGAGTGCGGCACCTGGGGCGGGGAGAGAGTCCTTGGATGGCTCTGCAGTTGAGGCCAGGTCCTCAGAAGGGCTGTCTTTGCAGTCCCGGCACTGGGAGTGCTGATGTGAGTTTACACAGAGGGCATAGATGGCATACTTCATAGCACAGAAACCCTGGTAGAGTGTCAGGTTCTGGCACTGGCTCAGGTGCTCAGGGACTGAAGCTTCAGCTGAATCTGAGATGTAGAGAGAAATAGGCTTTAGAGTTAAATATTTTTCAGGCACAAGCAGCAATCATGAGCTGAAGCAGAAACTATACTTGTAAGTTCTTACCCTTTTTACTTTTTGTGAGTCTGATCTGTGTTCCTTTCCAGAACTTTCTCCTATTCAGCATCACACTAGTCCCCTTCAATTATTTTCCTCCATCAACCCTGCATCTACATGTCTCACCACCTCTACATGGCGTTGTTGTCCAGGGCCAGTACTTGAACTTTAGCCCGTTATTTCTCTTCTTTTAGCCTTTTCAAGTTCAGTGTCATGTGTATCTCAGTGGATTACTAGGGATCAGACTTATAATATTTCTCTGGAGAGCTTTTGTACTTGTGTGTGGGGGTTGGAAATCTAGATGCTTCAGAAAATCCGCTAAACAAGTTGTGTTTTTTTCCAGAAACAAACATGGAATGTGGTAACACTGGTTTTACAATCAGTGGTAGAACTTTTGAAATACAAATTAAGGCGGGTATTAGTAGTTCATGCCAGGCTACTGAGGAGGCTGATTTGAGGATCACAGTTCAAAGCCAGCCTGAGTAAGAAAGTCTGTGGGACTCTTATCTCCAATTAACCAGCAAATCTCTGGAAACTGAGGTGTTGTTTAAGTGCTAAAGCATACACCAAGCTAGCTGAGCAAGTAAGAGGCCTTGAATTTAAACTCATTACCATCAAACTGGGAAATATCTACTGTCAGAGAGAAAGATGATTACTTTTATATTTGAGTATTCTTGGCCCGTGAAGGCAGATTGTGATTATACTATATTGTGACTTTTGACAGCAAAAAGCAAGGTCTTGAATTTTACTCAAAGATCAAAGGCTAAAATGAGTTTTCATTAGTGTTCTAGGCAAGTCTTTCCTCTAAAATTCTTGATCTGTTCACTAGATATGAAGGAGATATGGGAGGAAAAGAAGGTACAAAATGTACTATAACAAAACTTATGGTGCATGAAGTCACTCAACAAGAATAGCTATAAACTCTTGACACTGGTTATGGTGTAGATTCAGAGGGAAGTTTCTAGTTCTGTTTCACAGTGATTAGGATATGCTAGTGGGTCCTAAGATGATTCCACAGGACAAAGGATGTGAGATCAAGTCCAGGGGATATTTCTTCTACCTCCCCAAGGAAGGTGAGGAATGCTTCCATGTTCCATAATCTGACTGGGATAAACAAGGATAGCTCAGAGGGCACATGCTAGACCCCTCTCTCTCTTTTTTTTTGTCAGTTGTGGGGCTTGAACTCTGAGCTTGGGCGCTGTCCGTGCGCTCTTCAGCTCAAGGCAAGCACTCTACTGCTTGAGCCACAGCGCCACTTCCAGTTTTCTAGTGGTTTATTGGAGATAAGAGTCTCACGGACTTTCCTGCCCAGGCTGGCTTTGAACGTGATCCTCAGATCTTAGCCTCCTGAGTAGCTAGGATTACAGGAGAGAGCCACCGGCACCCAGCTTAGACCCCTCTCTTGACAGATATTTCAACAATAACATCTAGATAAATCTGATGCAGGAGGAAATGTACAAGAGCCCCGTGAGAGGGAATCCTGTCTCAAGTGTTCTATTGCCAACTCACCATGTTCTTGAGGGAGGTCTTTGGCTGGTACTTTCTGTAAGAGCTTGAGAACCTCTTCCTCCCTGAGGCCTGGAAGGTTCGTAAGGTGATGGAGAGAATAGAGCACTGAGTGGCTGTCTCCACCATGCAAATGATACAGGAGATCTCTCTTTGGTATAGGGTGACTGAAAGAGAAAATTGGGAGGAGGCAGTTCACATTACTGTTTTTAAGAAAGACATTACTGTTCTGTTCCCTCTTGTTCTTCCTCTCTGGCCCAGTCACACAGGTTTTACTTCCTTAAACATGATTTTTTAGTAGGTCTAGAATACAATGTGCCATTTCTTTACCCTCGGGGAAGTACATCCGTTGAATCAGCTCCACTTTTTCTAGAAAGGACCACCTTTCTGGCCAGTGGGGTCTAGAAAGGGCCTGCAGGTAAATTTTGAAAAATATCTATCTTGTCTCAGTCTTTGCACTGACACAAGCATCTTTGGCTTGATTTTGGGCAAAGTCCCTTTGCCACTTCTTCTTCTGCCAATCCTGCTTCAGGAAGTTCTGGGGAGGTAGGTGAAGAACAAGAGAGGAATTCAAATCTAGATAGACTAAGTTATCAGGAGAAAGCAGGGCTTCCAAAATAGTTCAATGAGCAGTTATTGAGTAAAAATGTGACTCATCCAAGGTACAATGTGACTAAGAATATGGATGGCATTAACTTGTTGTATAACTTTGCTTAAGTTATTTTAATGGCTTTGGCCGTCAGTGTCCTACCTTTAAGAACATAGTTGTCTACCTCATAGGATTATTTTCAGGCTTTATCATTTATGTAAAGGGCTTACAGACAGAGTAAGTGCTTAGGAATGGGGAGCTATTTTTTAAAAATAATTATTTTTATGTTGAAATTATCTTCTAGTTATAACTTAATGGTCACAGAGAAGGTAATGATTATTTATGTGTTCTTTTTCCTGGTTTAATGCCTGGAACAATTATTCATGCCTGGTTAATAATATCAACTAAGAACACTGATGTGCTCTGTGTGTGGCCACACAGATAGAGCCCGGGGCTCAGTGTGCCCAATGGTGGGCAGGGGCTGACCACATAGGAGTTATACCTGCTCTGCTGGACACACCACTCCAAGACCTCTAGGTGAGCCCATAGTCCATCACAGGCATCCCTGAGGAACTCATCACAGCCTTGGCCCTGTGTTGGTACAACAGAAGAAAGAGATGACTCAGGCCTCTAGCATCAAGTGCTGTAACTAACTTTGGTACTGTACATTCTACTTAGGCTTGAGACCTCATGGTATTCATTTGTGGAGAAGCTGGGTGCAGGGGGCCAGTTACCTGGGTCCTGTGGAGTGTCTGGAGCAGCCTCTTAGCTGACTCAAGGCTCTGACAGTGTGTCCAGCCGAGGAGCACGAGCAGGTGACTGAGAGGCCTGAATTCTCTATCAAGCAGGTAGCCTAGGTTTGAGAAATCTTCCTCTTTCAACAGAGTTAGTGCTGTTACCTGCAAACCAAAGAAGGCTGCTGTAAGCAGCTTTGTAGACTAGAAAGAATGAAATCCAGCTGGCTGCTCAGTTGGGAAAGAATTTTTTTTGTGATTGTGTGTGTCGATTGTAGGGCTTGAACTCTGGGCCTGGGCGCTGTCCCTCAGCTCTTCAGCTCAAGGCTAGCACTCTACCACTTAAGCCACAGTACCACTTCTGGCTTTTCCTGTGTATGTGGTACTGAGGAATTGAACTTGGGGATTCAAGCATGTTAGCCAAGCACTGGGCTACATTTCCAGCCCTGGGAAAGAAACTTCTCAGGACAGCAGGGGCAGTTCTGATATGACAGAGTGGACTGTTAAGCAAATTAAATGTTCACAAAAGCATGAGACACTTAAGCCTCTTGAAGTCAGGGACTGACTTGTGTTGTGATCCTAGTTCCTAGCTCAACAATTGGTACTCAGGATAAGATTCATAAATATCTGTTGAAATGAAGTTTACTTGTAACCTAGAAGGAAAAACAGTAATCAAATACCTGTCAGTGCTTATGGAAGTAATCCTATCTATTCAAGAGGCTGAGATCTGAGGATTGAGTTTGAAGCCATCGCAGGCAGACAATTCTGAAATTCTTATCTCTAATTAAACACTAAAAAGCTGAAAGTGGAGATGTGGCTCAAGTAGTAGTAGAGTGATAGCCTTGAATGAGAAAGCTAAGTGATAGCTTGAGGCCCTTAGTTCAATTCCCAATATCAGACAATCCCCCCGCCCAAAAAACAACAACAAAAAGTTATAATCCTGCCATGATTCTTTCTCACATGCTCCAGGAAAGATGACACATCTCCAAATGTCCTATTTCCTATAGAGTAACTACAATTATAATTAAGAAGGGAACTGGTTCCCAGACCTTCCTCTATTTACCCTGGGACTATGGGAAGGACAGAACCAAATGACATTACTAATACACAGCTGTTGGATGGATGAGTGGGAGAGAAGTGAAGTACGGAAAAACCCAAGGAGATTTCTGGGTCCTTCTATGATGAAGAATAATTATGTTTGACTTACCAAGATCTGCTCAAGGAAGTGCTTGTTGTTGCTTAGGCAGTAGAAAAAGGTCACTTTCCAAGCTTGGGCTGGGTCAGGAGTGGAGAAGAGGGCCAGCATTACCCGGTCAGGATTTGGATGATCTGGTGAGACTGAATAACAAACTAGACAGGGTTATTGGGAAACCAAGAGCTCTTCTTTCCTATATCAGAGGCCATTTGAAAAACTAACTGATGTACGAGTTAGCACTATTTTTGTGTGTATGTATTAGTCCTGGGGCTTGAACTCAGGGCCTATGCACTGTCACTGAGCTTTTTTGCTCAAGGCTAATGCTCTACCACTTGAGCTATAACACCATTTCTTGCTTTTGTTGATTAATTGGAGATAAGAGCCTCACAGACAGATTTTTCCTGCCAGGGCTGGCAATCCTTATATCTCAGCCTCCTGGGTAGCTAGCTAGTATAAGCTACTAGTGCCTGGCTACAGCTTATCTTAAAGACATTTTTCTTCTCTCAGAAGCTTCTGGAGAGTTCTTTCCTGCAAAGTCTATTATGATACTTTTTTACTCTGCCCCTAGAAAAGTGGCACTTTTAGAAAAGAACATCTTAAGGCCAGGTGCTAGTGGCTCATGCCTATAATTCTAGCAACTAAGAAGGCTGAGATCTGAGACTGTGTTTTGAAGCCAGCCAGGACAGGAATGTCCAAGAGACTCTTATCTCCAGTTAATCACCAAAAGTAGAAGTAGAGATGTAGCTCAATTGGTACAGTGTGCCAACCTCGAGGAAAAAAAGGCTAAGGGATGGTGCCCAGGCCCTAAGTTCAAGCCTTAGAACTGGCGAAAGAAAGAAAGAAGGAAAAGAAGGAAGGAAGGAAGGAAGGAAGGAAGGAAGGAAAGAAGGAAGGAAAGAAGGAAAGAAGGAAGGAAGGAAGGAAGGAAGAAAGGAGAAGAAAGGAAAAGCACATCTCATCATTTTCACTCAGCCTCTCCTGTTAGAAGTCTTAAACAACAAGCAAGGCACCAGTCAGAAAAGCTGGTATACTGAAATTACCAAAACACATGAATCAGCAAAGGGAACATACTTTTTCCTGAAGTTGTGGCTCTTGGTAGCTTTTCTGTAACTTTCTCTGCATACGTGTGGCTGTAGAGGGATAACAGGCTACGTCCAGCTTTGTGTGTAAGGCAGCTGAGCAGCCGCTCCTCCTGTAGGGGACTCCGCTCAGTCCTGCAGGCCTCCAGGAGTTCTTCACACAGGACACACAACTCAACCCCAGATGGCTCTGCAGGACAACGCAGAGTCCGCAGGGCTCCATAGATGGCATCAACTACTCTAGAGGGCTCAGAGGCAGGGTCCTGCAGCGTTCGCAGTGCCTTTCGAATGAGGTCCACAAGTGCCTTCTGCAGAGGCCAGTGACAGGGGCTGGTGCCATCATCCTCCCCAAGCAGGAGCTCCAACAGGGCCTGAGCTAGCAAGGGTGCCTGCTTCAGAAGATCCCAGAGTAGAAACACAGCTTCGGAGCTGAGCCATGGGGTCCAATTCTCCTGCCTCTGACTTCTGCAAGGCACAGGGTCTACCGGGTCTTGTGCTAAAGTCTCATACAGCTCCTAAGTTGAGAATGAAGAAAGGGATGAGGGGTAGCCATGTCCAGAATACTATTACTTATATTAGCTGAGAGTTTAGTAGCATTAGCAAACATTTCTGTATGAGTTACTATATTCTAGCTACCATGTTCTTCTATAGAAGAATCAAATAAACTGAAGGGGAACATGTTACTATTATCTCCTTTTAACAAATGGGAAGATTGAGACTAACAAAAATTTAGTCAACTGTTCAAGGCTTCCATGCTCAAGCTGGTCCCTCTCCACTGCCCCCAAAATATGTAGAGAGGCCTGAATTGGAAACCATAAATTCATATAGGAGACTGGTTAGGTATTTATTATGCAGTAAAGACAATTTTTTTTTTTTTGGGGTCCAGTCGTGGAGCCTGAACTCTGGCCCTGGGCGCTGTCCCTCAGCTCTTCAGCTCAAGGCTAGCGCTCTACCACTTGGGCCACAGCGCCACTTCCGGCTTTTTTCTTTTTGCTTATGTGGTGCTGAGGAACTGAACCCAGGGCCTCAGGCATGCAAGGCAAGTGCTCTACCACTAGCCACCTTCCCAGCCCCATGGGCAGTAAAGACATTCTTAAGGAATCGTTTATTTCTTATCTTCTGATAAAATCTTTTTGTTTGAATGTATCCTTCAAAAGTTTACCCTTGGCAAGGTAGTGCATGCTGGTGATCCTAGAACTTGGGAAGCTAAGGCAGGAGGATCTATCTAGTCTTTGAAGCCATTCAGAGATGCCTCCTTATTAACTGCAAGAATGTGAGAGAACTCACAAGTGCAAGTTTCCACCTTAAATTCTACTATAAATATGTCACTGGCCTGGGAAGTATGGTGCAATGGCTGAGAAATTTCCTAGCATGTCCAAGACCTAGGGTTGATTCCTTGTACCACAAAAACAAACAAACAATAAAAAAGAAAAAAAGAAAAGAAATTGGGGCCTCAGAGCATACCTCAGGCATTTGAAGTAGTAACTGATATATGTTATATAAATACAGATAATACTTAGTTGGAATCTGCCCCAGCAAGTTGTTGTAAGGATTAACTATAGTGTATCTATAATAAGAAAAGGTAGTCATCAAGTTCCAGTTTCTCTCTCCCTTCATATTCTCTACCATCTACTGAACAAAAGTTCAATCATTTCAGTTTCAATTCAAGTTATATATAATAATTTTGGACAATCCACCTCATGGTGGATTACCCCAGTCCCCCCACCCTTTTTTTTTTTTTTTGCCAGTTATGGGGCTTGAACTCAGGTCCTGGGTACTGTTCCTGAGCGTCTTTTGTGCAAGGCTAGCACTCTACCACTTGAGACACAGTGCTACTTCCCTCCTACTTTTTCTGCTTATGTGGTACTAAGGAACTGACCTGGGGCTTCATCCATGCTAGGCAAGCACTCTATCACTGAGCCATATTCCCAGCCCTGTATTACCCCATTTTTAAACTCTCCATTTTGCCTCCCTGAAAACACATCTTGGAGAATAGTCTGTTAGTGTCAGAAACTTGAACTGGTTGAGTACACAGAGGGCTCCAGGGCTTACTCTCACCTTAAGGTGGTTCTCTGGAATGTCACCTTGGAGATCTTCAGACAAAAAAAGAAACTCAAGCTTTCTCCGGAAAAGAGCAGGGAATAACTTCTAGAAGAATGGATAAGAAGGTAGCATAGACATTAGGCATATGCTTTCACTAACAAACCATAAGTAAATATTTCTCTTTGGTTAGTCTTATTTTGATTAGTTCTCTAAGGCAAAGTACTTCAGCCATTAAATTCCTAGATTTGTTTTCAGATACTTTTCTTTATAACAAAAATTGCTAAACTTGTATTGATCCTAATAACTAAAATATAAAACTCATACTTAATCAGCCTCAAATTCTACTGTTAGTTTATGTGAACTTCCTTTCCTCCCTCCGTCCCCATTCTCTTAGCTGCCTGCCTGCCTTTCTTTCCTTGGTGTGTCCAAAACACTGATTGTTGGTAAGCCTGAGATTCTGCTCACACAGTCCTCTTTTGGGCCAAGTCTCTGTTTTGGGTATTCACCATCCACTGTATATCAATTGGAGAAGGAAGGCAAAGGGGCCAGGATCTAATGTCCATTAAATATTTATGTGCCAGGTAATATGTACCATATTTTAAACTTTCACTTAAATTTTAAACCCAATCCACAGCACATAGTTATGTGTTTGAAAAAAAAAAACACCTTTACTAGAGGTGAAACGGTTGGGAAGTTTCTCAGATTATTACAAACAGGAAAAAGAAAAAGTGATTCTTAGTGTATGAGTTTGTGTATTTTACAGTGCTGTGGACCTCTGGCATGCTAGGCAACTAAGCACACTCTCATTTTTGTGTTTTTTTTTTTTTTTTTTCCTTCGGTCATTGTGGGGCCTGGACTCTGGGCCTGGGCACTGTCCCTCAGCTCTTCAGCTCAAAGCTAGCGCTCTCCCACTTGAGCCACAGCACAGGGCCACTTCTGACTTTTTCTGCTTATGTGGTGCTGAGGAATCGAACCCAGGGCCTCATGCATGCAAGGCAAGCACTCTACCACTGAACTACCTTCCCAGCCCTGTTTTTGTGTTTTTGAGATAGGTCTTGCTATGTTGACCAGCCTGGTCTCAAACTCTTGCTTCAGATTCCCAAACGGCTGGGAGTACAGATGTCTATGCCATTGCACCCAGTGTCTATTAATATGATATGCTATTGGTAAGGGATAATGTATAAGCAGAGAGAAAGCCTGTATTCTTTCTATACTCAAATATCTCAAAATAATTTCCCTTAGCCAGGTGCCAGTTGCTCATCCTTATAATAGCTACCCAAGAGGCTGAGATCTGAGGATCATGGTTTGAACCAGTTTGAGTATGAAAGTTCATAAGACTCTTATCGTTAATCTTTCCAAAGAATAGTTTTATTGGAAGGCAAGAAACAGTTGCAGGAGTGTGTGTGAGAGAGAGAGAGAGAGAGAGAGAGAGTGTGTGTGTGTGTGTGTGTGTGAGAGAGAGAGAGAGAGACAGAGAGAGAGAGAGAGATGTTAAACACAAGTTTACACTTCCTCCACTTATTTGTTATTCATCTCAACACAGGTATTCTTGGTCCAAAATCATATTACTTCTTGGTGTGTGTGCCAATATTGAGAGTTAAACTCAGGGTCTCACACTTAACTTGTCATTTTCACTCAGCTTGAGCCACAGCTCCATTTCTGGCTTTCTGCTGGTTAACTGGAGATAACAATTTCCGATTTGTTTGCCTGGATAGGCTACAAACCATGATCCTCAGATCTCAGCCTCTTGAGTAACTAGAAGTAGAAGCATGAGTCACCAGTGCCTGACTTCACTGTGTAATCTTGAAGGACCAAAGTGAAGATTTCTGTTTGTGCTTCCTACCAGATAAAGGAAATGCTGATACTTTTTTTTTTTAAGATATACTTTTATTTATTAACCAATCCTGTGTGCTATGGACATGGAGGTTACTCTGTTTCCTTCTATTAAAATAGCTTATAGCTGGGTGCTGGTGGTTCATGCCTGTAATTCTAGCTACTCAGAAGGCTGAGGTCTGATGAGTCAGCCCAGGCACACGACAGTAGAGACTTTTTTTTGGTCCAGTCGTGGGCCTGAACTCTGGGCCTGGGCACTGTCCCTCAGCTCTTCAGCTCAAGGCTAGCGCTCTACCACTTGAGCCACAGCGCCACTTCCAGCTTTTTTCTTTTTGCTTATGTGGTGCTGAGGAATCGATCCCAGGGCCTCAGGCATGTAAGGCAAGCGCTCTACCACTGAGCCACCTTCCCAGCCCTAGAGACTTTTATATCCAATTAATCACCAAAAAGCTAAAGCTTTTTGACTGACTCAAGTGGTAGAATAGCCTTGAGCAAAAAAACTAAGCAAGAGCACGAGGTCCTGTGTTCAATCCCCAGTATCAATACAATTTCCTAACAATGAGTATCTCTGAAGCTATATCTTCACACACATGTAGAGATAAGCCATTTCAAGATGAAGAAAGAGAAGACAAAAGTAAATGAAGGAAAGGAAAAATAGAACCACTGTTTTACCAAACAACTAAGAGGTCAACTTTGGGCAGAAGGTAGGAGCCTGGAAAAGAACAGGCAGCAAATTTCTAGAACAGGAAGTCACTTCCAGGATTGTGACCAGCCTCATATAGAACAGCACTGAGAATGCAATTTAAAACCTTGGTCCTTATGATCAAGTTTTAAAATTCCCAGAACCGTAAAAATATTCCCATAGCTGTTTAACTAAATGTTACTATAGCTTTAAAGACCAAATAATCATGATATGGAAAAAACAAGAACAAGTTTTGGTCTCTGCTTAAGGAGGCAGGGAAGTAAAATCTACCACCTGATGTGGTTGAGCAACTGTCTAGAAAATAAGCAACCAATCAGGCATAAACCAAGCAAACAGCCTTCACTGAGAGGAAAGTTCATTTGGTTTGGCAAGTTTCACATTTGTAATGGGGAAATATTTAATCAGTGACATGATTTTTCTTTTCTCTTTGAAGAGACCATTGATCTCAAGATTTTTTTTCTTTTAAATCTGATGCTTAATTATCCTAGGTTTCATTATTTTTCCAGTCTTACTTCTTTTATTTTCCATTCAGTCATCCTGTTACATCTCTCTGCTAGATAACTGGATAAACCTTGGATAACAGATAGCTTAAGAAACCACTCTTTGGCAGCTATTTGAAGAAGTGTCATGCAAAAATGAAACTTAAGACTAAATTCTAATGAATAGCAGGAATGAAAAGAAGAGAAACAAGGCTAATTGACAGACTTATAAAAAATTAATTTCACTGTCTATGGTTGTTGCATACCTGTAATTCTAGCACTAGACAGGGTGAAGCAGAATAGGATTTCAAGGCCAGCCTTGAAATATAGCCTTGGGCTATATAGCAAGATCCTGTCACTCATAAACAAACAAATTTTGCTATTTTTAAGTTCACTTAAACTGAACAATGTTGAGGTAGAAAAGAGAATTGAGATTTTGATTTCAAATCTAGTTCTAGCTCTCTTTATCCTTGGTCAATCATTTCCCTTAAGTTAGAAGCTATTTAGCTTAATTTTTTGGGGAGGGGGCATAATGTGGTAGAGGCAGGTTCTCACTACATTGCCTAGGCTAGCCTGGAACTCTTGGATCTAGTGTTCTTTCTGACTCCCAAGCAGCTGGACCTTCAGGTATGTACCACTGTGCTTGAGACATCACTTAGTTTTAGACTCAAGATGAAATTGTATCAGAGAAACCCTTTTTTTTTTTTTTGTTTTGGTTGGTGGTGGGGCTTGAACTCTGGGCTTGGGCACTGTCCTTGTGCTCTTCAGCTCAAGGCTAGCTCAAGGCTAGTGCTCTACCTCTAGAGCCACAGTGCCACTTCCTGTTTTCTGAGTGGTTTATTGGAGATAAGGGTCTCATGGTCTTTCCTCCCTGGGCTGGCTTTGAACCATGATCTTTAGATCTCAGCTTTCTGAGTAGCTAGGATTGCAGGTATGAGTCACTGGTGCCCAGCTGAAGATACTCTTTCTTTCAACAGGAAAAGCATTTCCTTATCAGTTTTATTCCACTATTAATTTGTTTTCCACGATTTTTATATTTATGGATTATTTTACTTAATAATTAATGAGGATAAATTTGTAAGATTTCACCGTAGTAGACTAGTGAAAATAATTTTTAGATGAAAAGCCAAGTTTCAATTGAGCTCATCTTGTACTACTTGAGTGCTGAACAGAGCTGAATGTTATAGGTTCATATTTTATTTTTTATCTTGTTACTTTTACTAAGTTTCATAGAATACACTTCACAAAACTCATCATAGCGGTTAACAAAATGGCCTTAGTTGAAAAAGTGTTATATGTCAATATATGTTAGTGATTTAATGAATGAATGTGGGAAAGGCAACAGCAAAAACACTTAAAAATATTCTTACTGTCAATACTGAGAAAGATTACAAACAACTCCACAGTAAAGGACAAAGGTGAAATTCCATTACTATTCTTAAGTCCTTCTCAGTCTTGATTGTAGGCAAACGTTAAATGTGAACGTATTTACCTTTTCATGAGCCAACCATTTTTCCAGTACAAGAAGCCAAATCCAGGCTAACTTTTGAGGGTTGATGTCCTGCCCACATCTGAAAAGAGTGAAAAGGAAGATTTTGTAAAAAGGAGTTTTTACTGCCTTTTTTGTTATTGTCATTGTCCAAGGCATAGATTTCAATGCTCACTCCATCTTCAACAGGCAAGTCCTAATGAGAAAAATTTAACTACATGACAATTCAATAACACATTAGAACAGGTGTAGAGCTGGCAGGTTTCACCAGAAAATTCTTGGGCTGACTGGAAGTGTGGCTAAAGTGGTAGAGTGAAAAAAGCCAAGTGATAGTGTGAGGTACTAAGGTCAAGGCCCTGTTACTCAGTCAATTCTTAAGCTAGACAGTGGCTCAAGAAGTAGTACAAGGCCTCAAGTTCAAATCTCAGAACTGCTAATAAGACAAATCCTCTAAAATCCCAATTCCACTCCCATCATTTCTAAAAAAATGAGGTGACACTATGTTCCTCAGGCTAATCGATTTCCAACTGTTGGTTTTAGACTATCCTCCTGGCTCAGCTTCTTGAGAAGCTGGGACTACAGACATGTGTCATCATGCCAGGTTTGGTCTTTGAAAAACAAAAACCACTAAAGCCTTCCATTTTCTAAGTTAAGTACTCTACTATTTGAGCTATACCTCCAACCCCTCCTTTTTTTTTTTTGGTTGTTGTTTTTTTGTCGGTTGTGGTACTTGAACCACTGGCCTGGGCACTATTGACCCTTAGCTTAAGCTCAAGGTGAGCGCTCTACCTCTTGAGCCATAGCCACTTCCACTTTTCTGAGTGGTTTATTGGAGATAAGAGTCTCCCGGAGGGCTGGGAAGGTGGCTCAGTGGTAGAGCGCTTGCCTTGCATGCATGAGGCCCTGGGTTCGATTCCTCAGCACCACATAAGCAAAAAGAAAAAAGCCGGAAGTGGCTCTGTGGCTCAAGCGCTAGCCTTGAGCTGAAGAGCTGAGGGACAGCGCCCAGGCCCAGAGTTCAGGCCCCACGACCAGACCCCAAAAAAAAAAAAAAAAAAAGAGTCTCCCAGACTTTTCCTGCCTGGGCTGGCTTTGAACCTCAATCCTTAGATCTCTTCTTCCCCAGCAGCTAGGATTATAGGTCTGAGCCACCAGTTCTTATTTTTCTGATAGGGTATCTTCCTATTTGCTCAGGACTCGTCTTGGACTGCTACCCTATTACCTGGGATTTCAGGTGTATACCACCATATCCAGCTTATTTTTAAGTGTTAACATTATAGAGAAAATCATAATACCACATGCTACCTAATATACATTTTTGAGCACAGAAAATGAATAAAAATGAAATGAGGACACAAAAATTTTTTTTGGGGGTGGGGGGTTGGTCATGAGCCTTGAACTCTGGGCCTGAGCATTGTCCCTCAGCTCTTCAGCTAAAGGTGAGCACTCTACCACTAGAGCCATAGTGCCACTTCTAGTTTTCTGCTGGTTTATTGGAGATAAGTGTTTCATGGCCTTTTCCTGCCCGGGCTGGCTTTGAACTGTGATCCTCAGATCTCAGCCTCCTGAGTAGCTAGAATTATAGGTGCCTGATTTCAAAGCCTTTTTCTGAAGTCAGTAAATTTAGACAGTAACTTCTCAGAACACATACTTAAGGAAATACAAAGACTTTCTCTACTTGGTAGCTGCTGACAATACTTAAGCAGTATAACAAAGTAAGAACAATCCAGGGAAAAGACTAAAATAGTGCATTTGGTCCCCAAACAACTAGTTATTTTAATATGGCCATGAAGAATTCACTAAAAATCTATAATGGAGAAATGTGATTATTAGGATAGTATCAAGAGGTGAGAAATTCTTTTGTAGATATGCATAGTTCTGTATCTCTATTACTGTGTGAGTCGATATATGGATTCAAACTGCATAGGATTACAAATAAAAATATAGACTTAAAATATGATTAAAATAAGAATTCTAGTATAGTATAGCTAACAAGTAATATGCAAATGTCATTTAAAATATTTTACTAAAGCTATATAAATTGTTATAATTAGGGGAAACTGGGAAAATGGTACTATTTTTGCAAATTTCTGTGAGTCTAATTATTTCAAAGTAAGAAGAAAATACTTTTCAATATAGTTACACACACCATCTTCTTAATAAATAGGCACACTTCGGTGGCCAAATACTAAAAGTCGTACGGATTATGTATAGAAGTAAATTTTTAGAGAATGTGAAATACATCCTGCTTCTGCTAATTCTTCCTAGGATAATAGAGTGAGCCACAATAACCTGAGATCAAATACTGGAAACCAAGTGACTTCGGACCTGTGACCTCCCCCCTGGCTGTAGCAGATCCTTTACCTTAGCAGATACGGACATCGCACCAACGCCTGAAGTATGTCTTCCACCTCCTTAGGGATATCCCCTTGTCCCTCATGTAGCTGATGTACACATGCCTGTGCCAGCTCCCATTCTCCCCTCCGCAGGCATTCACAGAAAAATTCAAAAAGCTGCTTCTCAGTAGCACTCTCCTCTTTTCCAAATGGAAAATTCATGTTTCCCAGCCCAGAGTGCAGGGAGATAGAAAGAGATGCGTTACGCCGAATACATGATCAATGGTCTCATTCCTGGAGTACCTCCTAGAAACAATATACGAGATAAAAGGAGATGGCACTCCAGACAAAACCGCAATGCCTGACTGGACTGGGAAAGGAGGGACTTGGATTCTGAATTTTTTTTTCCCTTAAAGTTTCATTGGATCCCTCACTATCTCTTTTTTGAGATCTGTCACTCTTTTCCAGGGGTGCAATCCCGTCTCTACGCAGATCCTCTATTTAACAGTAGTACTACCAGTCTCCCGGGCCCCGGAGGGTAGACACGTAGGTCCACTTCCGTATTCTCTGCTGAACATTACTCCCAGTCGGGCAAGTCCCCAGGTGGGCGCCTCGGCCAGAGTGAGTAATCCGGCAGGAACCTCCCTCGTCCGAGCCCTTGGGTTAAGGAAGATGAATCTGAATCTGAACCCGAAAGCAGAGGAGGCCAGAGGAGGGCAGGGAGAAAAGGCGGAAAGCACACTCCCTATTCAGGGGGAGGAAAGCGCATCTGCCTTCAACCAGGGGTCTCACACTCACCGGCTCCGGGCTCCCAAAGCATTAGGCGTTCCCTTGCAGCCATGTTTGAGGCGAGTCAGGTGACTGATCCCACAGAGAACCGTGGGAGGGGGGGCGGTGACGACTGAGCGCGCCGCTCCTATTGGCTCACTGGAGAGGAAGATGCAAATTAAGTGCCCAACGTGTTTGAGTCACGTGACTCTGCCTCCCTCTTCCGCGCTCTCCCCCGCCCTCCCTCCAGGAAGGGTAAGCGGTTCTGAAAGCTGGCTGGCTACCTGGTGTGGGCCACGTGACAGGCCCTCCCCTTATACTATCATTTGTGCGTCCAGCTGGACTGGTGGTGGGCTTGCCCCTTTTTCTCTCTCTAGCATCTGAAGTCGACATTTCCCCAGTGCCAACTAGAGGCAGTGCTTTGACAGGATTCCTTTCTTCTACTTGGGCTCTTTTATAATCACAGAACTCTACACTTTGAATTCTCATCGTCTTCTGTTTTTCTTTCTTCATTTCTATTGCTTTATTTTGTTCTACCCCTGAATAAGGTGCTGCAGGTCATTTCAAGAGTGCAGACCAATACTTAAGATACAGTGGGGGCAACAGCATAAAGATAGCTAAATCATAAAGATAGCTAAATCGTAAAGATGCACAAAGCAGCTGGCACAGAAGAATCCAGAATGAGCAAACCAGGCACCCTGTAATCTGAGCTACTCTGGAGGCTGAGATTTGAGGATTGCGGTTTGAAGACAGCCAACTCTCCGGGAGACTCTTATCTCCAATTAACCACTAAAATGCCGAAGGTGGAGTTGAGTCTAGAGTGGCCGAGAACCAGCATTGAGCAAAAAAGCTCAGGGTCAGCGCCCAGGCGGAGTTCAAATTCCAGGACTGGCGCGCGCGCGCGCGCACACACACACACACACACACACACACACACACACACACACATGCACACACGAGCAAAGGCCTTTTTCGAAAAACCTAGGATTCTGAAATTACTGTCTCTCAACAGTTTATTATGCTTCATCTCCAAACGGCGCTTTAATGTCAAAGTTTCGACTCAGATTTTCCCGTTTGTGAGTTTCAACGTGAGCAATTTCTACAAGCCTTTTCTAATTGTTTTCGCCTCCATGGGTGGGGCGGGGACGGGGGCGGGGATTGGGCAGGAGGTGGTGGTGGTAGGGGGTAGTTGTGGTAAAGGTCAAATTAAAACAAACAAAAGCTATCTTCCAAAATAGATTAATAGATAAATATGTAAAAAAAAATCCGTATTGAGGATTGAACTCAGAGCCTTCCTAGCGCTTTACTAGCATTTGAGCCACGCCCGCCCTCCCGTTATTTTCCTTTTCGTTTCTCAGACGGTCTCCCACTGTGGATGGGCCTTAGACCCAGTCTTCTACCTCAGCCTCGCTACCTCAGTCTCACACCTCAGCTTGGATCACTATTACTGGCCCTTTAGGCAATTTTTAGATGTTGTGAAGCAAGAAAGAAAACAAAGAAAGTTCCGATCAAAGTTTGTCTTGCTTCACACTCAGCATCCTGACGTTTTCCCCCAGCGGATTCCGAGAATCTTTAAAAGGAGAAAGTAAGTGGGATTCATAGCGCCTAGGTGAGATGATTCGAACTACAATTCCCAGCGAGCAGCGGAACCAACCTGAACCAACCTACTTCTGATTGGATAAATGGTGAAGGTGTCCACCAATCACCGTTCAGGTTGTTGCTTTGTGGCGCTTTCCGCGGGAAACTGAATAGAGTTGCGGGGGAGGGCGGGGGGCGGGAGTTTGAAAGTTGGATGTTGCCCACCCGGCCGTGAAAGTTGCTTTGGGGGTGCGGTTGTAGGGAAGTGTGTGTGTTCGTTGTTTCCTGCTCCCTCCCTGGGCCTGTGGAGATTGAATAACGGGGTAGCGGAGAGGCTCTATTGGGTGCTGGGCACGCCCCCTTAAGCCGGTAGGGATCTTCAGGGTAGGCCTGCCTTGGGTCCCCGGGCTTCTGGCCTTCTCTGGGGAGGCGGGATGCTTGGAAGTGGCCTTATTGAACAATTCTATCTGTCTGTCTGTCTGTCTATCTACTTACCTACCTAACCTACCAGATTTTGGGTGAGGTTTTCACTCCCCCCCCCCCCCCCCCCCCCTTCCACTTGATGCAGTTTGGGATCTAGGCAGGGAGTCTGCCCTTAGGGGAGGTTTGGGGACTGTCTCACTTAAGACAGGGTTGAAAAATCCTAATCTGGAATCATGTTCTTGGATTCGAATGTTTGCCTCTCATTGGCTTGCTGTTTGCATGTTTCTCAGTAGTCTGTAAAATGAGAGATAAAACATCCAAAGCGCTTCGAACTGTCTCTAGCATATACTAACTGTTCAATAGTAGTGGTGGTTGTTATTTCTCAGCTTTCATTGGATAGCTAACATGTTTCAGCAAGAGTGAAATCTTGCATGTGAGAATGTAAGCAGCAAGAGTAAATTTCAGTTTGTAGATAACACCTACAATAAATACAATCTCATTTGATTCAGGTTTGTTCTGACAGAAAACGGCAAGTTTAAATATTATGGACTTACAGTGTCATGGTCAAATGGATAGTTCTCAGAGTTGGACTGTCTGGGTACAAATTCTGGAGGACAATAGATTAGCTGATATTTTTAGATTACTTTTCTCATGTCTAAAAAGGAACCAAGCTGGGTGCTGGTGGCTCACACCTGTAATCCTAGCTACCTTAGGAGGCTGAGATCTGAGGATCACAGTTCAAAACAAGCCCAGGCAAGAAAGTTGGTGAGACTCATCTCCAATTAACCAGCAGAAAATGAGAAGTGGTGCTGTGGCTCAAAGTGGTAGAGCACTAGCCTTGAGCTGAAGAGCTCAGGGACAGCACCCAGGCCCAGAGTTCAAGCCCATGACTGACAAAAATAAATAAATAAAAAGGAACCAATAATTTCCTTGTAGTCTTACTGGGAATATTAAATGTAATAATTAGGGTTAGGTTTTGGAACAATATTAAGTTGTACTTGAGAAATTTAGCTATTATTAGTACACTGCAATGGACAGACTTTCTTTCTTTTTTTTTTGGTTGGTCGTGGGGCTTGAACTCTGCGCTTGGGTGCTGTCCCTGCGCTCGGGTGCTGTCCCTGCGCTCCTCAGCTCAAGGCGAGTGCTCTACCGCTTGAGCCACAGCGTCACTTCCAATGGACAGATTTTCTAAGGAAAGGTTACGTTGGGAAATATCTCTTGAAAGTTAGTTAATTCAAATAAAATTTATAAATATCCTGATAACCTTAAGATGCTATATAAATGTCCATTAGGGTTACAGTTTTCTCTGTGCATGTCTAAACATGTTCTAATATTTAAAGCACTTTAAGATTCTATAGCCTTCCTTAATTTTTATCAGTAATCATTATGTTTCATTTTGCATCAATAGACGCTGTAGTAATTTATTATAGGCCATCCACTATAATAAATGTTACTTTGTGATGTTTCCTCTAGTTTTTTCCTTTCTTTGCTGGATCTGAAGGCATGAGTAGCAAGAAACTAAGACGAGTGGGTTTATCACAAGAGCTGTGTGACCGTCTGAGCAGACATCGTATTGTGACTTGTCAGGTAAAAGTCAAGTAATTTTTTTTTTTTAACCTAAGAACTTTTATGTACAAATTAACTGTTAAGAATACCTCAGCTGCGTGCTGGTGGCTCATGCCTGTAATCTTAGCTACTCAAGAGGCTGAGATCTGAGGATCACGGTTCAAAGCCAGCCCTGACAGAAAAGTCCATGAGACTCTTTATCTCCAATTAACCACCAGAAAACCAGAAGTGGCACTGTGGTGCAAGTGATAGAACGCTCACTTTGAGCTGAAGAGCTCAGGGACAGTGCCCAGGCCCAGTGTTTAAGCCCCATGACTGGAAAAAAAAATATACCTCAATACTATCTACTTAGGAGGCTGAGATCTGAAGATCACAGTTCAAAGCCGTCCTGGGCAGGAAATTCTGTGAGACTTATATCTCCAAGGAACTACTCAGAAAAAGCTGGAAGTGGTGCTATGGCTCAATGGTAGAGTGCTAGCCTTGAGCACAGAGAAGCTCAGGGACAGAGCCCAGGTCCAGAGTTCAAACCCCAAGACTGGCAAAAAAAAAAAGGAATGCCTTCGTAACTCTGCATCATGGATTATAAAATTTTAAGTTCAGGGGCTGGGAAAGTAGCTGAGTGGTAGAGTGCTTGCATCGCATGCATGAGACCCTGGGTTCGATTCCTAAGCAGAAAAAGCCGTAAGTGGCGCTGTGGCTCAAGTGGTAGAACGCTAGCCTTGCTGAAAGAGCTGAGGGACAGCGCCCAGGCCCAGGGTTCAGGCCCCATGACCAGAAAAAAAAATCACAGCCAGGCACTGGTGGCTCATGCCTCTAATCCTAGCTACTTGGGAGGCTGAGACTGAGGATCAGGGTTTGAAGCCAGTCTGAGTGGGAAAGTCTGTGAGACTCTTGTCTCCACTAGAGTAGCCAAAAAAAACAAAACAAAACTGGAAATGGAACTGTGGCTCAAGTGGTAGAGCCCTAGTCTTGAGGAAAAAGAAGCTCAGGGACAGCAGCCAATCTCTTGAGTTCTAGCCCCAGGACTGGAAACAAACAACAACAACAGCTACAAAACCTTAGGTTCACAAGAAAAAAATTAATGCCATTTTCTATAAATTACCTAGGTTGCATTTTTACATGCAATTTCATATATTGAAATCAATACTTTCACATTTTTAGGGGGAGAATAGTCATGGTATAAGGTAAAGTTCACCTGTGTCATTTACTTGGGGCTCTAGAAGAAGTTAAATTTTATAGCTACATGAGAAATATGACTGAAATGAAGAGATAGTATTCAATGAGAATCGTCAGGATGATTTTCTTATTGATAGAGCCTGAAAACCATAGAGCATATGTTGCATTTTTGAGCACAGTAGTGAAACAGATTTCTCTCAGCAGAGTAAACAGTACTAAATTTTTATTTTAAGATTAAATCTTTAGGGGCTGGAAAGGTGGCTCAGTGGTAGAGCGCTTGCCTTGCATGCATGAGGCCCTGCGTTCGATTCCTTAGCACCACATAAGCACAAAGAAAAAAGCTGGAAGTGGCGCTGTGGCTCAAGTGCTAGCCTCGAGCTGAAGAGCTGGGGGACAGCACCCAGGCCCAGAGTTCAGGCCCCACGACCGGACCCAAAAAAAAAAAAGAAAAGATTAAATCTTTAATAAGACAGGTTTTCAGAGTATACTATATATTTTTGGTAAAGGTCATCTTTGCTTTCTCTGCTGTACATTTAATACTAACCATGTTCATTTTATTTATTTATTTTTTTTGTCGTTGTGGGGCTTGAACTCTGGGGTTGGGCGCGTTTTTCTGGTGGTTTATTGGAGATAGTCTCACGGACTTTCCTGCCCAGGCTGGCTTTGAACCGTGGTCCTCACATCAGCCTCCTGAGTAGCTAGGATTAGAGGTGTGATCCACTGGTGCCCTGCCTAATATACAGCAACCCCCCCCCACCATGTTCATATTTTGAAATGCTCTTGCAAATATGAAATCTAACATTTCATTCCATAATTGGCTCTATTCTCTTTTCTCTAAGTAAATTTTTTTTTTTTTTGGTCAGGTTGTGGGGCCTGAACTCTGGGCCTGGGTGCTGTCCCTCAGCTCTTCAGCTCAAGGCTAGCGCTCTACCACTTGAGCCACAGAGCCACTTCCAGCTTTTTTTTCTTTTTGCTTATGTGGTGCTGGGGAATTGAACTCAGGGCCTCAGGCATGCAAGGCAAGCACTCTACCACTGAGCCATCTACCACTGAGCCACCTTCCCAGCCCCATTCTCTAAGTAAACTTTTGACTTAGAAATAAACACATTCTCAGAGCTGGGAAGGTAGCTCAGTGGTAGAGTGCTTGCCTAGCATGCATGAAGCCCTGGGTTTGGTTCTTCAGTATCACATAAATAGAAAAAGCCGAAAGTGGTGCTGTGGCTCAAGTGGTAGAGCACTAGCCTTGAGCAAAAAGAAGTTTATAGACAGTGCCCTGGCCCTGAGGTCAAGCCCTAGGACTGGCAAAAAGGAAAAAAAAAAGGAAAAGAAAAAGAAATAAACACATTCTTACTTGACCTTTTCAGCAGTGTAATGTCTTGTAAACTTGGATTGGATGTTGCTGTTGCTATGTGATGTCACTTGGTATGACCTCTGGCATATGCCAACTGAATTGGATAAGAACACCGTCATACTCTCTGGCACCAGTGGCTCATGCCTGTAATCCTAGCTCTTTAGGAGGCTGTGATCTATGAATTGTGGCTTGAAACCAACCCTGTCAGATCAGCGTTTTTATCTTCAGTTTACTGGCAAAGGGCTAGAACTGGAGGTATGGGTCAAGTGGTAGAGTTAGATCTTAATTATAAATATATGTGAAAACATATACAGCGTAGATGTACAGAGTACCATCCATGAATGAAAAATCATGGGAGGGTATGAGGCCCAGAGTTCAAGTTCTAAAACTCACACACACACACACACACACACACACACACACACACACACACACACACCACAGACTGTTTTTTTTTTTTTTTATCACATCTTTTAGTTAAGGTGTATTTAAGGTAAAAATACTATAAAGAATGCCTAGTGGTTGGGGTGTAACTCAATGATAGAACACTTGCTTAGTATATGTAAGGCCCTGAGTTCAATCCCAGGTATAGAGAAAAACAAGAGTTCATAAACCCTGGATCTGTGATACATTGCACTTATATCTACAGTATCAACTTAAAGATTCCTTTTAATTTCAATTTTTTGTACCACACATTTAAGAGAGAATGTAAAACACTTTCCTTTCTATGTTTCTTTAGGACTTCCTAGTTCTTTCCCCATTGGAACTTATGAAGATGACTGGTCTAAGCTATCGGGGTGTCCATGAACTTCTGTGTCTGGTCAGCAGGGCCTGTGCCCCACCGATGCAAACGGTATATGCCTGCATCTATATTTAAAATTATTTAATTATTAAATGATGATTTTACTTCAAAGATATATTTTTGGTAGAAGCAAAATTAGAGATGTATTGCTATTATTCCAGCTGCCGGGGAAGCACAGTAGATGGATGTGGTGGTACCAGGGAGGCACAGATAGGAGGATTATAGCCCAGGCTGCTAAAATTCAAAGGGTATGAGGTTGCTTATGTTTTTTGAATAAGTATGGAGGCTAAAAAGAACTAAATCATCTTGTCATTCAGGCTTACGGGATAAAGATACAAAAGTCTGCCAATCTCTCATCAGCATTTCTATCTACCACTCTTGCTGCTTTGGATGAAGCGCTGCATGGTGGTGTGGCATGTGGATCCCTCACAGAGGTAAAGGAGGAACTCTCCATATCTTCTATTGACTTATAAGCTTCAAAGCCAGAAAGAAGGATTTAGTCTAAAAGAGACAAATTATTTTATGAACACTAATCTGAATTAAATCATAAGTACTTCAGCGGACTGTAGGATGCACCCTCAGTCCTTAGTATGGTTGCTCTGTAAATGGTGTTAAAAAAAAAATCTCTGTTTCTTTGACTCAACTTAGAAAGTAATGAACATTATGCAGTAGTATGATAAAATATTTTGAGTGAATTGAAATTAGGAAAGGAAAATTGCAATTTTGTTAACGTTTGGGCAGATAATACCATACTGCTAAAGTGAGCTACTTTTATTTCCTGTTGCTGATAAATGTTGGTTCTGTGAGGTATTGGACTATCATATTAGTTAATATTGTTGCATAACCAATTATCGCAAAGCAAAGTGACTTAGAAGATAAAAACTGCTTTTTCCCCTCACTTTCTTTGGGAGTGGCTTAGTTCAGCAGTATTGGAAAAGGATGCAGCCCTGCTGGAGTCGGAGGATCTAATTCCTAGAGGGCTCGCTGACATGGCTGGGGGCTGACATGGCTGGCCGGCTGTTGCTGGTTTTTCTTCAGAGGCCCAGGTTCTTCCGCACTTGGGCTCTCCATGACTTCCTCAGGGTGAATGGTCTCATAGAAGGCAGGATGGAAATGGTGGTCACTTTGACGGTCACGGACTGGAAGTCATACACCATTGCTACCACATTCTTTTCCCTAAGAGTAAATCATTAGATTCAGTCTACTCTGAGAGGAAGGAATATTAAACCTCACTCTTTGAAAGAAATGGCAAAAGTTGAAGACATTTGAAAAGCACTATAGTTTTTCTTTTCCTTGAAAGCTGCAAGTATGTTTATGGTGTGATATTTTATACTGTGTTTGCCAGTACACACCTAAGGATTTGCTTGAAGGTACTAGAGGAATAGATACTTTCAATTAATTTCCAAAGAAGAGTAGATTTCTTTGCTTACTTTGTTTATTTATTTATTGTGATGGAGATTGAACCTAGGACCTCAAGTATGCTCAGCAAGCACTCTACCAATGAGCCCTTTCTTATGTTCTGATATTCATGATTTAACTGAAAAAAATTTTTTACCTTGAAGATAGAGATCCATGTGTGTGTGTGTGTGTGTGTGTGTGTGTGTGTGTGTGTGTGTGTGTGTGTGTGTGTATTGCAGGTTCTGGGGCTTGAAATGAGAGCCTGGGTGCTGTCCCTGAGCTTTATTGTTCTACCACTGGAACCACACACAACTCTACTTCCTTTTTTGGTAATTTAATGGAGATGAGAGTCTCCTGGACTTTCCTTCCCTGGGCTGTTTTTGTACCATGATCCTCATATCTCAGCCTCCAGAGTATCTAGGATTATAGGCAAGAGCCACTGGTGCCTGGATTACATATTTTATTTCTTGTCTTCCTAGAGAGCTTTGAAGTGTGTCTAGTACATGTAAATTAGTCTAGTGGATGGTTAATGAATTTTTTTTTTTAATTTTTTTTTTTGGTCCAGTCATGGGGCCTGAACTCTGGGCCTGGGCGCTGTCCCTCAGCTCTTCAGCTCAAGGCTAGCGCTCTACCACTTGAGCCACAGCGCCACTTCCGGCTTTTTTCTGTTTGCTTATGTGGTGCTGAGGAATCGAACCCAGGGCCTCATGCATGCAAGGCAAGCACTCTACCACTGAGCCACCTTCCCAGCCCTATTATGAATATTTTAAGGGATCTGCTGTTGTGTTACTTTGCCACCAGATGGTGCCAGAGTCAATATCACAATCTTTTCTAGGATCAAGTTAGACCTGAGAACTCAATTATGGTTTTTAACAATAGTAATCCAGTTATAAATTTACTTATATGACAAAAAAATTGAATTTAAGGAAGATTAACTAAAAAAAAGGAAGATTAACTAATAAGTGCTTTATTTTTTATTTATTTTTTTTGTCACGGGGCTTGAGCTCTGGGCCTGGGCGCTGTCCCTGAGCTCTTCAGCTTAAGGCTAGCACTCTACCACTTGAGCCACAGCACTACCTCGGTTTTTTTGGTGGTTAATTGGAGGAACAGAGCCTCATGAATCTTCTTGCCTGGGCTGGCTTTCAACCACGATCTTCAGGTCTTAGCCTCTTGAGTAGCTAGGATTACTGGCATGAGTCACTAGCACTGGCAATGCTTTTTATTTTTAAGACTCATAATAATATCCACTACTTTTCAACTTAGCTTAAATTCTTTGTGAATTTTTTTATTTTTTTTCTTTTGGTCGTGGGGACCTGAACTCTGGGCCTGGACACTGTCCCTCAGCTCTTCAGCTCAAGGCTAGCGCTCTACCACTTGAGCCACAGGGCCACTTTTGTCTTTTTCTGCTTATGTGGTAGGAGGAATCGAACCCAGGGCCTCATGCATGCAAGGCAAGCTCTCTACCACTGAGCTACCATCCCAACCCCAATTCTTTGTGAATTTTAAGTGGCCGAGTTGGGATATAAATACTCTGCTTGTTAATGCCATGTTTTCTGCTTTCCTGTTCTGAGCTACAAGCACCCTCTTCAATCTTTTTTTTTTTTTTTTTTTTTTTGCTTTTCAGATAAGCATAGTATCTAAATTAATTGTTTGTATTTGCCAGTTCTGGGGCTTGAACTCAGGGCCTGGACACTGTTCATGAGCTTTTTTTTTGCTCAAGGCTAGCACTCTACCACTTGAGCCACAGCGCCACTTCTGGGTTTTTCTGTTTATGTGGTACTGAGGAATTGAACCCAGGGCTTCAAGCATGCTAGGCAAGCACTGTACCACTAAGCCACATTCCCAGCCCAATTTATTCTTTCTTAAGAAATAAAGTTTATATATATATATAAAATATGTATCTGGCATATATTTATGAATTCTTAGGAGTTCCAATATAAAACCTTGAACAAGCAGGGTATGGTGGAGCAAGCCTATGCTTCTAGCTACTTGGGAGACAGAGTGGAGGATTGCATTTTGAGGCAATAAAAGAGAGTTTTGGGCAGAAGTTAGAGAGATCCTCTCTCAGTCAATGGCTGGCCATGGTGGCATGTACCTGTTATCCCAAGTTATGAGGGAAGCACAATGGCCTGTCATCCTAGAGACTAAGGGAAGCACAATAGGAGGATCTCAGTCTAGGCAGGCCTGGGCATAAACTGAGACCTTATTTTGAAAATAACCAACATAAAAACTGGTGGAGTGGCTCAAATGGTAGAGAACCTGCTTAGCAAGCACTGGGGTCCCAAGTTCAAGCAACATATTGTCAAAATAGCACACCAACCACCACCACCACCACCAATACAAACCAAAAACTAGAATAATACTATAAATCTTGAAAGTAACCATGGGCTTCTCTCTAACCCTCTTTTGGGAAGTGAACTTCATTTGGAATTTTCACTATTTTCTATCATAAAATTTTATTTTGGTTTATTTTTGAACTTTTAAAAATCATATGTCTGATTAAATCATATCTCACAATTCTTCCATAAACTGTTTTTCTCACTGTTATTTCCAAAATTTATCCATGTTATTATAGGTGGCAAGAGTATAATTCAGCTTGACTGCTGATCATAGTTGTAAACCTGATATATTCGTACACACACACACACACACACACACACACATATATATATGTATTTTTGTTGTTGTTGTTGTTGGTTGTGGGGCTTGAACTCTGGGCCTGGGCGCTGTCCCTGAGCTCTTCAGCTCAAGGCAAGTGCTCTACCACTTGAGCCACAGTACCACTTCTGGCTTTTTCTGCTTATGTGGTATTGAGGAATCGAACCCAGGGCCTCATGCGTGCAAGGCAAGCGCTCTACCACTGAGCCACCTTCCCTGCCCTGTATGTATATCTATCTATCTATCTATCTATCTGTCTGTCTGTCTGTCTGTCTGTCTGTCTGTCTGTCTGTCTGTCTGTCTATCCATCTATCTATGGTAAACAAATATCTTAAAGCTTAATGGCTAAATCAGCAAGGGATATTCATTATCTCACACAGATTCTGTGAGTCAGGTATTTGAGAACTGCTTGAATGTGTCTAGTTCTAATCTCTCAGGAGATTATAGTCAAGATATTGACTGAAGACATCTATAAACCTGCCTGGAATTGGGGAAGCTCCTCCAAGATGGCTCACTTTTATGGCTGCAAATTTGGTCCTGGCTGTTTGCAATCCTTTGCCATGTGAACCTCTGTAAACTGATTGTCTTCATGTTGTGAAAGTGTATTTTCTCCCTAGAATGTGATACAGGGGAGCAAAATCAAAACGGCAGTGTCTCTTATGATCCAGCCTTGGAAGTTATGTATACTTTTACTTAGTACTGGGGCTTGAGCTCAGAGCTTGGCACTCTTCTTTAGCTTTTTCACTCAAGGATAGCACTCCACCACCTGCGCCACAGCTCCACTTCTGTTTTTGTTTTTGGGAGGTAAGAGTCTTATGGACTTTCCTGCCTGGGTTGAACCTTGATCTTTAGATCTCAGCCTCTTGAGTAGCTAGGATTACAGTGCCACAAGTGCCAACTTCTTTATTTAATTAAAAAAATATTTTATTTTTGAGTTGGTCCTAGGATTTGAACTCAGAACCTGGGTACTGTTCCTGAGCTTTAAAATTTTTTTTTTAAAAAATTTATTTTATTAAAAAGATGATTTACAAAAGGGGTATGGTTACATGAGTAAGATAATGAGTACATTTTGTCCCTGAGCTTTTTTGCTCAAGACTGGCACTTTACTACTTGAGCCACAGCTCCACTTCTGTTTTTGTTTTTGATAGTTGATTGGAGTTAAGAGTCTCATGGATTTTCCTGCCTGGGCCAACTTCAAACCACAGTCCTCAGATGTTAGCCTCCTGAGTATCTAGGATTACAGGCATGAACCACACTGGTGCCTGGCAAATTTTAATTTGTGTGTGTGTGTGTGTGTGTGTGTGTGTGTATGTGTGTATGTGTTGAGTCACACAATGTTCAGATAAAAGCTCAGCCAAGTTATCCCTTTACTTCATCC